AAGTGTCTCAGCCTGTAGCAGCCTATGATAAATTTGGCAAAGCTGTTTTCATTTGCATGACTTTGTATGAGTATCCTTCAGTATGATTATGTAAGGTTCTGTTCACTAAACCCAAAGCACAAGCCAAACTTGGCAATGTATTCAACTAACTTTTTGGGAAATTTGTATTTCCTTTCTTAAAATGGGTTTTCAGAACCAGAAAGCAATTTCATTCCCATTCCCATCTATGAAGTGCAAGCAAAGCATTTTTCTAGTTTGGATATCCCTGAAGGCTATGAAGCAGGAACCAAGAATGTTAACAAAATGGGACAAAAACATAGGAAGGAAATCAGAACCAATGAAATATTTTCTTTTATAGAGAATGAGATTACAATCAAATATGTACAAATAAGAGTTATATGTGGAGTACAAATCTACTTTGAAGACACAGGCCTCCTGAGATTTCTGAATCAAGAACACACTTTGGTGGTTTATGGAAACCCACATTTTCTCCACAGTTATTGTGACATTTCTATCGTGACTTGTGAGGACATTCACTACACCCTGAAAAATGGACAGAATAAACTGAAGAGGAGAGAAAAGTAATATTCATCTGTAGCTTGAATCAATCAGTGACCCAGGGGATAGAAAATGTTGCAGGTTTAATTTGGATATGAGACAATTATATGGAAATTAGTAACGAAGATTACCTTAAAATTCTAAATATTAAAGGCAGATATTTTAGCAACTCAATTATCTTGAACTAAGCTCTCCATCCTTCACTGGAAAAAATACATCGCCATAAAATGTAGTTGTTTAACTGATTCAAATTAAACTTAGTTTTCTAAACAAGGGATGGCTGGATGCCACTTGGACCTTGGCATGCTTGGTTGTGAGTTTGGGCCAAGTGAGTTTTCTGCTCCCATGTTTCTCTAGTTGTTTAACATACCATACTTCCTCTACATCATATTTTGGTTGGAGATTTACTGTATCCCTTACAGCAATAGTTGCCTGGGATAAATTTCCAATGTGAGATGCAGTTATTGATCAGAAATTTGCATATAAAATGATGTAAAGAATAATAGAATGTTGTAATTTTTTCTTCCTTTTGGAGTTGTGTTTGTATTCGTGAAAACACAGACTGGGGTTGAGATTTAAACTTAATATCAGTCTTATTTTCCTATTAGTGTGTGCTACTTTGGGAAGTAGAGGGGTTAGGGGAGCTTGATTTTAACAACAACTATTCTAAGTTGTTTAATGATATAATGATATATAGGCAAAGTTTATAGGTGACATTACATTCTTAAGAACAAAGAGAACTTGTACCCACATCAATTTTAGAATTATCATAGATGGCTTTAATGGTCCCTGAGTAGGAATCTAGATCTGTTTAGATGTAGATTTAAAGCATAATCAAGTTAAAAGCAAGTTGGGGCAGAGAGAGTGTATTCCTGGGAAACTGTGGCTCATGTTGAAAGACTCCAAGGATGTGAAAGCTACTTTAAAAAACAAAAGCCAAGGCTGGCAGCAGACTTCAGTCTCCTCACCTGCCAAATGGAAGAATCGACTAAATATGAGGCTTCAAAACCAGAAATATTCAACAGAATAATCCACACATGGATGGGAGGAGATTAGTATGCATCTTTGATTTAAGAATTGCTATAATAGATTTATTCAACAGATGTTGGTTGACTACTTCATAGGCAATAAAGATGCAGTTGAAAAATGACATCCCTTTCCCATGGAGTTTTATTGAAATGCTGAGGGGGAGGATGTGGAATAGGATCAGTTCAGTTCAGTTCAGTTGCTCAACTGTGTCCGACTCTTTGCAACCTCATGAACCTCAGCATGCCAGGCCTCCCTGTCCATCAACAACTCCTGGAATTTATTCAAATTCATGTCCATCGAGTCGGTGATGCCATCCAACCATCTCATCTTCTGTCGTCCCTGTCTCCTCCTGCCCCCAGTCCCTCCCAGAATCAGGGTCTTTTCCAATGAGTCAACTCTTCGCATAAGGTGGTCAAAGTACTGGAGTTTCAGCTTCAGCATCACTCCTTCCAATGACTATTCAGGACTGATCTCCTTTAGGATGTACTGGTGGGATCTCCTTTCAGTCCAAGGGACTCTCAAGAGTCTTCTCCAACACCACAATTCAAAAGCATCAATTTTTTGGCACTCAGCTTTCTTCACAGTCCAACTCTCACATCCATACATGACCACTGGAAAAACGATAGCCTTGACCAGATGGACCTTTGTTCGCAAAGTAATGTCTCTGCTTTTTAATATGTTATCTAGGTTGGTCATAACTTTCCTTCCAAGGAGTAAGCATCTTTTAATTTCATGGCTGCAATCACCATCTGCAGTGATTTTGGAGCCCCCCAAAATAAAGTCTGACACTATTTCCACTGTCTCCCCATCTATTTCCCATGAAGTGATGGGACCAGATGTCATGATCTTAGTTTTCTGAATGTTGAGCTTTAAGCCAACTTTTTCACTCTCCTTTTTCACTTTCATCAAGAGGCTCTTTAGTTCTTCTTCACTTTCTGCCATAAGGGTGGTGTCATCTGCATCTGAGGTTATTGATATTTCTCCCGGCGATCTTGATTCCAGCTTGTGCTCCATCCAGCCTGGCATTTCGCATGATGTACTCTGCCTATAAGTTAAATAAGCAGGGTGACAATATACAGCCTCGACATACTGTTTTTCCTATTTGGAACCAGTCTGTTGTTTCATGTTCAGTTCTAACTGTTGCTTCCTGACCTGCATATAGGTTTCTCAAGAGGCAGGTCAGGTGGTCTGGTATTCCCATCTCTTTCAGAATTTTCCACAGTTTATTGTGATCCACACAGTCAAAGGGTTTGGCATAGTCAATAAAGCAGAAATATATGTTTTTCTGGCACTCTCTTGCTTTTTCAGTGATCCAGCAGATGTTGGCAATTTGATCTCTGGTTCCTTTGCCTTTTCTAAAACCAGCTTGAACATCTGGAAGTTCATGGTTCACATATTGCTGAAGCCTGGCTTGGAGAATTTTGAGCATTAAGTTATGACCAACCTAGATAGCATATTAAAATGCAGAGACATTACTTTTCCAACAAGGGTACATCTGGTCAAGTCTATGGTTTTTCCAGTGGTCATGTATGGATGTGAGAGTTGGACTGTGAAGAAATCTGACTGCCGAAAAATTGATGCTTTTAAACTATGGTGTTGGAGAAGACTCTTGAGAGTCCCCTGGAGTGCAAGAAGATCCAACCAGTCCATCCTAAAGGAGATCAGTGTTGGGTGTTCACTGGAAGGACTGATGCTGAAGCTGAAACTCCAGTACTTTGACCACCTTATGCGAAGAGTTGACTCATTGGAAAAGACCCTGATGCTGGGAAAAATTGAAGGTGGGAGGAGAAGGGGACGACAGAGGATGAGATGGTTGGATGGCATCACCGACTCGATGGACATGGGTTTGAGTAAGCTCCTGGAGTTGTTGATGGACAGGGAAGCCTAGCGTGCTGTGATTCATGGGGTCGCAAAGAGTCAGACACAACTGAGGGACTGAACTGAGCTGAACTGAGATGAGTGCAATTGTGCAGTAGTTTGAGGATTCTTTGGGATTGCCTTTCTTTGGGATTAGAATGAAAACTGACCTTTTCCAGTCTTGTGGCCACTGATGAGTTTTCCAAATTTGCTGGCATATTAAGTGCAGCACCTTCACAGCATCATCTTTCAGGATTTGAAATAGCTCAACTGGAATTCCATCACCTCCACTAGCTTTGTTTGTAGTGATGCTTTCTAAAGCCCACTTGACTTCACATTCCAGGATGTCTGACTCTAGGTGAGTGATCACACAATCATGATTATCTGGGTCATGAAGATCTTTTTGGTACAGTTCTTCTGTGTATTCTTGCCACCTCTTCTTAATATCTTCTGCTTCTGTTAGGTCCATACCATTTCTGTCCTTTATCGAACCCATCTTTGCATGGAATGTTCCTTTGGTATCTCTAATTTTCTTGAAGAGATCTCTAGTGTTTCCCATTCTGTTGTTGTCCTCTATTTCTTTGCATTGATCGCTGAGGAAGTCTTTCTTATCTCTTCTTGCTATTCTTTGGAACTCTGCATTCAAATGGATATCAAATGGGATATCTGCATTCAAATGGGTATCTTTCCTTTACTCCTTTGCTTTTCGATTCTCTTCTTTTCACAGCTATTTGTAAGCCCTGCTCAGACAACCATTTTGCCCTTTTGCATTTCTTTTCCATGGGGGTGATCTTGATCCCTGTCTCCTGTACAATGTCACAAACCTCCGTCCGTAGTTCATCAGGCACACTGTCTATCAGATCTAGTCCCTTAAATCTATTTCTCACTTCCACTGTATAGTCATAAGGGATTTGATTTAGGTCATACCTGAATGGTCTAGTGGTTTTCCCTGCTTTCTTCAATTTAAGTCTGAATTTGGCAATAAGGAGTTCATGATCTGAGCCACAGTCAGCTCCCAGTCTTGTTTTTGCTGACTGTATAGAGCTTCTCCATCTTTGGCTGCAAAGAATATAATCAGTCTGATTTCGGTGTTGACCATCTGGTGATGTCCATGTGTAGAGTCTTCTCTTGTGTTGTTGGAAGAGGGTGTTTGCTATGGCCAGTGCGTTCTCTTGGCAAAACTCTATTAGCCTTTGCCTTGCATCTTATTTGCTCTTAATAGTGAATCTGCATGTAGCTTATGAGTTTTACATCTCTGCCCATTGAAGTGACTGAGAAGGAGCTGGAAGTGTTGTACTGTTCTTATGTAGGAAGGAAAAAACACTGAGTTTGTTGGAAGAATCAAGGGGAAAGCAATTCTGTACATGCAAATGAATCATAGCCTTATCTGTATCAGCACTGACTGATATACTCTTCTACGCCCCACTGTTTCACTCCTCTCCCTTTCAGCTTTTTTTTTTTGCAAGTCGTCACAGAGTTCATCTGGGGCCAGATTTTAATTTTGGTATGTTGTGGATGATTCTGAAATCTGTTTGTATTTTTGCTTCTTACTGTAGATCTATGCATATATCTTTAAGAACATCAAGTCTGTGCGACTGGAAGCACTGCTCTTATCCTTGCTAAGCATCGTGGTGCTTGTACTGGTTAAAGAGCTGAATGAGCAATTTAAGAGGAAAATTAAAATTGTCCTTCCTGTTGACTTAGTTTTGGTAAGTACAAAATGAACGTTTAACTTTCTTCCCTGCAACACTTGCAACTTCTGTGGGTGACATACAAAAGCTCACCTTATTGTCTATAGCAACCCACAATTAGTCCTGTCTCTCATTAAAGCAGGACTAATTTGGCTGTACATTCATGTATAGAGAGGAAATATTTTGAGTCAATAATTTAAAAAAGGAGGCACACGTGTTTCTAATTTTTGCAGAATTTCTCATATGCTTGTATGTTTTTGGATAAATAAGACAACATATATCCTAAAATTTTAAATATGGAGACATTTCTGAGGATGAGACTCAAAAGATCTCTGGCATGATTCTCCATAAAGCAATAAAAAGTGATAACTCATCTTTTTGATATGGCATCTATATGCTGCATAGAAATATTATCAATCAACAAATGTCCACTAATGGTTGATAGATTTATTATATTTACTGACCTAATTTTACTTTATTGAAAGGATATTCTTAAAATTTTCAGTGGCCAAGGCTTATTCTCTAAGATATTTTTGTTGTTGTAGTTGGCAAAGCAACAAATTGTACTTTGCTCCTAAGCCTTATGAAGTTCAAAAATACATTTTGAAATTTTAAGAGCCTCTAATGGGAACTCTTTTTTAAAAAATTATATTTATTTATTTGTACTTGATTGATGATTGCTGTACAATATGGGTTTGGTTTCTGCTGTAGATCAACATTAATCAGCCATAGGTATACACATGTCCCCTCCTCTCTCTTAAAACTCCCTCCCACTTCCCACTCTTTCCCACCCCTCTAGGTTGTTACACAGCCCTGGTTTTAGTTTCTAATGGGAACTCTTAGCTAAACAAAGCATTAGATTGAAAATGAAATGTTAAGCAAACCAGTCTTCTAAATTACTTATTATTAATTGGCCTTAGGTTTTTTTAAAATTATTGGTGATAAGTGGTGTCTAAATAATTTCACCTATTGGAATGTCACTTCATACAAATAAAATGATGTAGGTTTTGTGTATATGTATATAAGGCTAGCATATTGGCAACTGTCTCTGAGGGATATGACTTCTTTCTGCATAACTAGCATGTATTGCCTCTTAGAATAGTTCATTTCGGTTGCTCAGTTGTGTCTGACTCTGTGACCTCATGGACTGCAGCACGTCAGGCCTCCCTGTCCATCACCAGTTCCCGGGGTTTACTCAAACTCATGTCCATCGAGTCAGTGATGCCATCCAACCATTTCATCCTCTGTTGTCCCCTTCTCCTCCTGCCTTCAATATTTCCCAGCATCAGGGACTTTTCAAACGAGTCAGTTCTTCCTATCAGGTGGCCAAAGTTTCAGAGCTTCAGCTTCAGCATCAGTCCTTCCAATGAACACCCAGGACTGATCTACTTTAGGATGGACTGGTTGGATCTCCTTGCAGTCCAAGGGACTCTCAAGAGTCTTCTCCAACACCACAATTCAAAAGCATCAATTCTTTGGTGCTCAGCTTTCCTTATAATCCAACTCTCTCATCGATACATGACTACTGGAAAAAAACACAGCTTTGACTGGGCACACCTTTGTTGGCAAAGTAATATCTCTGCTTTTCAATATGCTGTCTAGGTTGGTCATAGCTTTCCTTCCAAGAAGCAAGTGTCTTTTAATTTCATGGCTGCAGTGTCACCATCTGTAGTGATTTTGGAGCCCAAGAAAGTAAAGTCTGTCACTGTTTCCATTGTTTCCCCATCTGTTTGACATGAGGTGATGGGACTTGATGTCACAATCTTAGTTTTCTGAATGTTGAGTTTTAAGCCAATTTTTTCACTCTCCTCTTTCGGTTTCATCAAGAGGCTCTTTAGTTCTTCTTCGCTTTCTGCCATAAGGGTGGTATCATCTGCATATCTGAGGTTATTGATATTTCTCCTGGCAATGTTGATTCCAGCTTGTGCTCCATCCAACCTGGCATTTCGCATGATGTACTCTGCCTATAAGTTAAATAAGCAGAGTGACAATATACAGCCTTTTCATGCTCCTTTCCTGATTTGGAACCAGTCTGTTGTTCCATGTCCAGTTCTAACTGTTGCTTCTTGACCTGCATACAGATTTCTTAGGTGGCAGGTCAGGTGGTCTGGTATTCCCGTCTCTTTAAGAATTTTCCACAGTTTGTTGTGACCCACACAGTCACAGGCTTTGGTGCAGTCAACAAAGCAGAAGTAGAATGAGCTACTGAACTGAACTGAAGTGAGCTGTTTCTCCTGAACTCTCTTGCTTTTTTGATGATCCAGGGGATGTTGGCAATTTGGTCTCTGGTTCTTCTGCCTTTTGTAAATCCAGCTTGAACATCTGGAAGTTCACAGTTCATGTACTGTTGAAGCCTGGCTTGGGGTGTTTTGAGCATTACTTTGCTAGCATGTGAGATGAGTGCAATTGTGAGGTAGTCTGAGCATTCTTTGGCATTGCCTTTCTTAGGGATTAGAATGAAAACTGACCTTTTCCAGTCCTATGGCCACTGATGAGTTTTCCAAATTTGCTGGCAAATTGAGTGCAGCACTTTCACAGCATCATCTTTTAGGATTTGAAATAGCTCAACTGGAATTCCATCACTTCCACTAGCTTTGTTTGTAGTGATGCTTCCTAAGGCCCACTTGACTTCACATTCCAGGATGTCTGCTCTTGGTGAGTGATCACACCATCATGGTTATCTGGGTCATAAAGATCTTTTTTGCATAGTTCTTCTGTGTATTCTTGCCACATCTTCTTAATATCTTCTGCTTCTGTTAGGTCCATATCATTTCTGTGATATGATTTCTGTGATATCATTTCTTTATTGTGCCCATCTTTGCATGAAATATCCCCTTGGTATGTCTCATTTTCTTGAAGAGATCTTTAGTCTTTCCCATTCTATTATTTTCTTCTTATTTCTTTACATTGATCACTGAGGAAAGCTTTCTTATCTCTCCTTGCTATTCTTTGTAACTCTGCATTCAAATGGGTTTATCTTTCCTTTTCTCCTTTGCCTTCAGCTTCTCTTCTTTTCTCAGATATTTGTAAGGTCTTCTTAGACAATCATTTTGCCTTTTTGCATTTTGTTTTCTTGGGGATGGTCCGATCACTGCCTCTTGTACAACGTCATGAACCTCCATCCATAGTTCTTCAGGCACTTTGTCTATCAGATCTAATCCCTTGAATCTATTTGTCACTTCCACTGTATAATTGTAAGGGATTTGATTTAGGTCATAATTGAATGGTCTAGTGGTTTTCCCTACTTTCTTCATTTTAAGTCTGAATTTGGCAATAAGGAGTGCATGATCTGAGCCACAGTCTTTTTTGTGGCTTGAGCTCCTGGTCTTGTTTTTGCTGACTGTATAGAGCTTCTCCATCTTTGGCTGCAAAAAATATAATCAATCTGATTTTGGTATTGACCATGTGGTGATGTCCATGTATAGAGTCTTCTGTTGTGTTGTTGGAAGAGGGTGTTTGCTAGTTAGGCCTTGATAATATGTGGAGATACATATAACTGACTTGATGGACATGAGTTTGAGTAAGCTCTGGGAGTTGGTGGTGGACTGGGAAGCCTGGCATGCTGCAGTCCATGGAGTCACAAAGAGTAGGACATGACTGAGTGACTGAACTCACTGATGTATAACATATGTGATCTATATAATATGTGTGTTTGTATGTGTGTGTATTTAAGATAAGCCATACAAGTGGAGGATACTATGATTATTAATAGTTTTTTAAAAAACCAACTGTGAAACATATTTTATTCCAAAGTCCTATAGATATTAAGGAATCCTTATTATATATTGGGAATCTTGGTTATATGTTTCATGAGACCAGACATTGAAAGTTACCTTGGGGAAGTAGGCCCTTGAATTGGTTTTATTCAATATTGAATAAAATAGTTGCCTATTTTTTTTTTTACAGAAATAGTAAAAATTATCCTTACAAAAGTAAAGGGTGGAGAATCCCATGGACAGAACAGCCTGGTGGGCTACAGTCCATGGGGTCGCAGGGAGTCGGATCCGACTGTGCGACTTCATTTCACTTCACGTCACTCCTTATGCAGTGTTGACCCTACTGTTGTAAGACCTAAAGCAAAAATAGTAATATAGGCCAAAATACTTGAGTTATAGATCAGAATGTAAATAAAACGGGTTCTATTTTCCTATCTTGACTAGAACACCTTGAAAGGCAGGTTAAAATAGAGAATTTTCCTAATTCTTTGGGCTCTGCCAGAATGTGGCAGTGTGGAGCAAGGAGAAAGCCAGCCCCTCAGCCTGCCTCTTCCTTCCTGTTCAGCTCTATCCCCTCCAGTGGGACTCATGAGTATATACATGGATACTGCTGCCCCAGCATGCAAACTCCAAACACGTCTACACTCTTCAGCCACCACAACTGTTTCTTAGCCTTCCCTTGGGCCATGCTGGAAGGGTAGACCTGGGGAAGGTATCTAGATGCAGACTTTGGCAGGAAATTATAGATTTGGGCAGGAAATTATAAATTCCTGGGAATCCAGTGTGTGATCCATAAAGATGAGCCCAGGTTTGAGTTAGGTACCTCCTCTTGCCCCCACAAAACTCCCATTTTATGAGGAGAGTTACAGTTGGAAGATGGCAGATGAGAAACTTCTAAAGCATTGTCTGAAAGACAAAGTTAGTGACTTAAGTTACTTAATTTTAATATTGGCTATGTTCATTGAACACCATGCATTCTTCCATTTTCAATAAGGATTCAGCATCTTGTGGCTATGGTGTATTTTCTTTTACAACTCACAATATTTTCTGACTTGATATAAATATTTCATGAAATTTATTAGCAATTAAAATGTATTAATTGGCTTAGGAATTTTTGAATACATTAAAGCTTCTGATTCCAACCTAGTAGCCTGAATTTTTTTTACTACTATTCTATTTAGAAAATACAATTATGTCATAATATTTATAAAATTTGAAACTATTACCTGTCAAGTTTTGTTGCCTTTTAAAAAATTCTCAAGGGTCCTTTGTTTTTTGTCTATTTAATGTTTTGAGAAATCTTATAAATTCAGTTAAATATCATCACGGAGAAGAGAAATATACAGTAAAAATCCCTACAAAATAATATTATTGGACATTGTTAGATATTCCTTATTTTGCTAGTGTGATTTTTTTTACACATTTTTTCTGACCATGTATATGGTAAATTTATACTTTAGGTAATTAGTGTGTTTCTTTTTAACAAAAAAGCATAGTATAGAAATGGTTAAACAGATATCAAACTGATAGATAACCATGTGAAATTTCCAGTACCTATTAAATAGTCAAAAGAATGAAGAGAATGTGAAAATGGATGGAAAAACATTAAGGTGGTATGACTGGTGAAAACAAATCCTGAACAGAATTCCGAACATACATTTTAAAGGGGACTGTGGATGCTTGCAGAGAATGTATGGCTTTGCTCCTGAAACTCCAGGGAGGTAATTTAAAAAATATTGGTTTCAACACATTATTAACTAGCATATTTTTCTTCAAGAAATAGCAAAAGCTCAAAATTCAAGATTATTCAAGGAGACTGTAAATCATCAATTACTAACCTACATTACGAATATTGATAGAACATCTTAAACACTTTGGTGACTACTCCAATGAAAGGAAAATGTTCTGTGTTAAAACATTCTTTCTTATCATGAGAGACATGTATTTAGGTTGGATTGTGGTATCTGTGCATACACACACACACACATACACACACACAAACACACATTCCTATATTCTGTATTCTGCACCCCTTCAGAATCAGACATAATTGGGTTGATATAATTGGAAAGGATATGATAAAAGTTGTATTATTGTAATGGCATTTAATTTTTGAGACTGCAGATTAAGTGCTCTCAAATCTCAGAGAGATTTTATTTAAACATTTTCTTAGTTTTAAAAAATCTGTGCAACTACTATATTACTGTTGATAATCATGGAGCACGTGGATAATGTTTGCTTTTAAAAATAGTTTTAAGATGTTTGAGAGATAGGAATAATTTTCTTTTTCTCTTTTTCAAATGGAACCACACAGATTATTGCTGCATGTTTTACTTGTTATTGTACCAATATGGAAAACACATACGGATTAGAAGTAGTTGGCCATATTCCAAAAGGGTAATGTAGTCTTTTTTCTTTCTCTCTTTCCTTTTGTTTGTTTGTTTGTTGATGGAGGAAGAAACTGGGTAGTAGGTGGGTATGAATTTTATTTCTCTCAAAGGTTATATGTGGTACAAAATTCTAGTTAATCTCTATTTTACAGTGTTAGAAACAGTTCACAATAAAGAAAAATAACTTTTAAAGTGTATATCTATTATTCGAGAAGTTGATAACTAGCTTATACAGCATTGCTTCAAGTGAAAGATTTGGAAATTATTAACACAAATTATTTGAAAAAGAAAGCAGATCATCGAATTTCCAAATTAGAGTCCTGCTCTAGGATGTAGTCTTCCCTATTCCACTCACACATTCCTATGACTATTTTTGTTTCACTTAAAATATAGTAAAAGTACACAAGCATCGATATAGCAAACCTATAACATGGGAGGCATGCATTGGTAAAAAAGAGGGTGGAAATAGAAAAGAGAGCATGTTTCCCACCTGTCTTAAAGCCTTCCTTTGGACACTAAGAGAAGATTAACAAAAAGAAGCAGTATTCACCCTAAAAGTACAAAATATTTTTCCAAATATAGCCTGAAAGAAAACAACATCATTTTAGGGGAGAAAGAGGATGTCTTATAAATTATTCTCTTCTAATGGGCTGTACTATACACTAATATTTATAGATTTGGGGCAAAATTAGAGTTGTTGGCTTCTCCATATTTTTATCTTCTAAACATAGGCCAATAGTGATTATTGGAATCAACTTGTGTTTTCTGAACAGTTCTCTACTTTACCTTCAAATTTAGTTTATTATTTTTTATTCCTATAGATTAACTTATCATTATTAATAATTAGGCAAGCTTTATTTTCATGAAACAAAATGTCTTATAGTTTGAAACACTTTTATGTATATGTCTCAGGGCTTGTAATGGTACAAATCAGTTTGACTTAGGGTTAAACTTGAGCGAGTGGGCAAAAAATACCATGCTTCTCCTTCATCTAGTCTAGTTATCCTTTATTTTGAGTGACTTTTACAAACTCATCTTCTTAAAGAATCATAGAAAAAGTATGGCATTGATAAGATGGAGCTGAGGTTGAATCTCAGCTCTACCATCACTTTATGATTAAGATACATTTCTTAGAATGTTTTCTTCTCTATACATTACATTAGTGGTACTTGATCGGGGGATTGTGGGAAGAATTTAATAAAACTGCTACTATGAAAGTGCTGAGCATTCAATTTACATGCTCAGTATTACATTAACATTAATTATTTTCCCCCTTTCTTCTAACTGTTTCCCCAGAGGGATTTTTTTTTTTTTTAAAGAGAAGAGGTAAGTGTCACAAAGCATCATCAGGGATAAATAAACAATGATACTTTGGCTCAAGTGGTTTTCAGAAAAAAAAAAAAGACAATGACTAGGTATTAGTTGTATTAGTTGTAAGAAATATTTTAAACAGTTGTTTAAAACTGAGAAACAGAAGCTTGCACAAGCCTCTTAGCCTCATCCACCAGAGGGCAGATAGAAGAAGCGGGAAGAACTACAATCCCACAACTTCAAGAACAAAAACCACAACCACAGAAAGTTAATCAAAATGAAAAGACAGAGGATTATATTCCAGGTGAAGGAACAAGATAAAATCAAACTAAAAGAACAACTAAACGAAGTGGAGATTGGCAAACTTCCAAAAAAGAATTCAGAATGATAGGGAAGATGATCCAGGACCCTGGGAAAAGAATGGAGAAGATGCAAGAAATGTTTACCAAAGACCTAGAAGAGCTAAAGGACAAAGAAATGTAGATGAACAATCTACTGGAAGGAATCAGTTGCATAATAACAGGGAGAAGAATGGATAAGTGACCTGGAAGACAAAATGGTGGGAATCATTGCAGCAAAGCAGAATATAGGAAAAAGAATGAAAAGAAATGAAGAGAGCATAAGAGACTTCTGAGACAACATTAAATGCACCAACATTCACATTATAGGGCTGCCAGAAGGAGAAGAAAGAGAGAAAGCACCTGAGAAAATATTTGAAGAGATAATAGCTGAAAACTTCCCCAATGTGGGAAAGGAAATAATCAACCAAATCCTTGAAATGCACAGAGTCCTAGGCAGGATAAACCTAAGGAGGAATACACTGAGACACATAGCAATCAAAATGACAAAAATTCAGGACAAAGATAAAATGTTAAAAGCAACAAGGGAAAAATGACACATACCCTTGTGTGTTTTATATGTTATCAGCTGATTTCACAACCAAAATTCTACAAGTCAGAAGGGAATGGCAGGATATAGTTAAAGTGATGAAAGGGAAGAACTCACAAACAAGAATACTCTACCCAGCATGACTTTGTTCAGATTTGATGGAGAAATCAAAAGTTTTACAGACAAACAAAAATTAAGAGAATTCACTACCACCAAATCAGCTTTACAGCAAATGCTAAAGGAACTTCTCTAGGCACAAAACTCAAGAGAAGGAAAAGACCTACAAATATAAACCGCAAACAATTAGGAAAATGGTAATAGGATCATGCATATTGATACTTGTCTTAAATGTAAATGAATTAGATGCACCAACCAAAGGCAGTGGACTTGCTGGGTGGATTGAAAAAAAGACCTATATGTATGCTGTCTACAGAAGACCCACTGCAGACCTAGGGACACTGATAGACTGAGAGTAAAGGAATGGGAGAATGTATTCTATGCAAGTGGAAATCATAATAAAACTGGAGCAGCAATACTCATGTCAGAAAAAACAGGCTTTAAAGCAAAGGCTGTTTTAAGAGACAAAGAGGACACTACATAATGATCAAGAATTCAATCCAAGAAAAAGATATAACAATTATAAATATATATATGCACCCAACAGAGGAGCACCTCAAAACAGAACCCATTTGCAGGGCAGCAAGACTCTTGAGAGTCCCTTGGACTGCAAGGAGATCCAACCAGTCCATCCTAAAGGAGATCAGTCCTGGTTGTTCATTGGAAGGACTGACGCTGAAGCTGAAACTCCAATACTTTGGCCACCTCATGCGAAAAGTTGACTCATTGGAAAATACCCTGATGCTGGAGGATTTGGGGCAGGAGGAGAAGGGGACGACAGAGGATGAGATGGCTGGATGGCATCACCGACTCGATGGGCATGAGTTTGAGTAAACTCCGGGAGTTGGTGATGGACAAGGAGGCCTGGCGTGCTGCGATTCATGGGGTCACAAAGAGTCGGACACGACTGAGTGACTGAACTGAACTGAACTGAATGGAGATGTGGACATAGAGAAAAGACTTGTGGACACAGTGGGGGAAGAAGAGGGTGGGACAAACTGAGAGAGTAGTATGTAAATACATACATTACCATATGTAAAATAGACAGCAAATGGGAATCTGCTATGTGACACAGGGAGCTCAACGAAGTGCTCTGTGACAGACCAGGGGGTGGGATGGGGTGGAAGATGGGAAGGGGGTTCAGGAGGGAGGGAACATGTGTATACCTGTGGCTGATTCATGCTGATGTATGGCAGAAGCCAACACAATATTGTAAAGCAATTGTCCTACAATTAAAAAAAAAAACCACTATAAAAAACACAAACATGTGGCAGCTAAACAATATGCTACTAAAGAACCATTGGATTACTGAAGAAATCAAAGAGGAAATTAAAATCTGGAGACAATAAAAATGAAAGTCAAACCTTCCAAAACCTATGGGATGCAGCAAAAGCAGTTCTAAGAAAGAAGTTTACAGCAATACACTCCTACCACTCTTACCTCAAGAATCAAGAAAAAAAAGCCTAACTTTACACTTAAAACAACTAGAGAAAGAAGAACAATTAAACCTGAAGTTAAGTAGAAGGAAACAAATCATAAAGATCAGAGCAGAAATTAATGAAATAGAGAAAATAATTGCAAAAATTGATGAAACTTAGAGATGGTTCTTTGAAAAGACAGATAAACCTTTAGCTAGACTCATCAAGAAAAAAAAGGGAGAAGACTCAAATCAATAAAGTTAGTAGTGAAAAAAGTTACAACTGACTCCACAGAAATACAAATTATCATAAAAGACTAATATGAGCAACTGTATGCCAATAAAATGGATAACCTTGAAGAAATGGACATATCCTTAGAAAGATACAGTCTCCCAAGACTGAATCAGGAAGAATGAGAAAATATGACAGACCAATCACAAACCTGAAATTGCAACTGTAAATAAAAAACTCTCAACAAACAAAAGTCCAGGTCCTGGTGACTTCACAGTCAAATTCTATCAAACATTTAGAGAAGAGCTAGTACCTATCCTTCTGAAACTGTTCCAAAAAATTGCAGAGGACGGAACTTTTCCAAACTCATTTTATGAGGCCACCATCACCCTGACACTAAAACCAGAAAAAGATACCATGAAAAAAGAAAATTACAGGCCAATATCACTGATGACCATAGATGCAAAAATCTTGAACAAAATACTTACAATCTGAATCCCTCAATACGTTAAAAAGATCATGCACCTTGATCAAATGGACTTCATACCAGGGATGCACGTATTTTTCAAGATCTACATATCAATGTGATAAACCACATCGGTAAATGAAGAATAAAATCTGTATGATCATCTCAATTAATACAAAGAAGGTTTTGATAAAATTCCTACCCATTTTTGCTAAAAGATCTCCAGAAAGTGGGCATAGAGAGAACACACTTCAACATCATAATAGCCATAAGACAAGCCTACGCTAACATCATACTCAATGGTGAAAATCTGAAAGTATTTCCTCAAAGATCAAGAAGAAGACAAGAATTCCACTCTCATCACTTTTATTCAACATAGTTTGGAAGTCCAATCCATGGTAATCAGAGAAGAAAAAGAATAAAAGGAACCCAAATGGGGAAAGAAGAAGTAAAACAGTCATTGTTTGCAAATGACATGATGCTATACACAGAAGATCCTAAAGATGCTACCAGAGAGCTACTAGAAATCATCAATGAATTTGGTAGATTTGCAGGTTACAAAACTAACAGAGACATCACTTTGCAAACACAGATTTGTATAGTCAAAGTTATGGTTTTTCCAGTAGGTATATACAGATGTGAGAGTTGGACCATAGAGAAGGCTGAGCACTGAAGAGTTGATGCTTTTGAACTGTGGTGTTGGAAAAGACTCTTGAGAGTCCCTTGGACTGCAAGGAGATCCATCCGGTTCATCCTAAAAGAAATCAGTCCTGAATATTCATTGGAAGGACTGATGTTGAAGCTGAAACTCCAATACTTTGGCTACCTGATGAAAGAACTGAATCATTTGAAAAGACTCTGATGCTGAGAAAGATTGAAGGCGGGAGGAGAAGGGGATGACAGAGGATGAGATGGTTGGATGGTATCACCGACTCAATGGACATGAATTTGAGCAAGCTCTGGGGGATAGTGAGGGACAGGGAAGCCTGCTGCACTGCAGTCCGTGGGGTCATAAAGAGTCAGATATGACTGAGCAACTGAACAACAAAAACAAAGGTTTGCAAGTTACAAAATTAATACAGAGAAATCACTTGAATTTCTATACATTAACAATGAAATATTAGTAAGAGAAATTCGAGAAACAATTCCATTTTCTATCACATCAAAAAAATAAAATACCTAGGAATAAGCTTATTTAAAGAGACAAAAGACCTATACTCTGAAAACTATAAGAGGCTGATGAAAGAAATCAAAGACACAAAGAGATAGAAAAATATACCATGTTTGTAGATTAGAAGAATCAATATTGGCAAAATTACCATACTACCCAAAGCAATCTACAGATTGAATGCAATCCCTATCAAATTTCCAGTGGCATTTTTCACAGAAGTACAACCAAAAATCTTAAAATCTGTATGGAAATGCAATAGACCCAGAATGGCCAAAGCAATCTTGAGAAAGAAAATCAGGGCTAGAAGAACCAGGTGCCCTGATTTCAGATTATACTACAAATCAAAACAGGATGGTACTAGAACAAAAATAGAAACATAGATTAATGGAACAGGATTGAAAGTGCAGAAATAAACTCACACCCTTCTGGTCAATTAATCTATGACAAAGGAGGCAAGACAACATAATATTGGAAAGTTAGTCTCTTCAACAAATGGTGCTGGGAAAATTGGACAGTGACATGTAAGAAATGAAATTTGTATGCTGTGCTTAGTCGCTCAGTCATGTCCAACCCTTTGCGACCCCGTGGACTGTAGCCCGTCAGGCTCCTCTGTCCATGGGGCTTCTCCAGGCAAGAATACTGGAATGGGTTCACATGCCCTTTTCCAGAGTATCTTCCCAACCTAGAGATTTAACTCAGGTCTCCCACATTGCAGGCAGATTCTTTACCATCTGAGCCACCAGGGAATCCCAAGAATGCTGGAGTGGGCAGCCTGTCCCTTCTCCAGGGCATCTTCCTGACCCAGGAATTGAACCAGGGTCTCCTGTATTGCAGGTGGATTCTTTACTAACTGAGCTCCCAGGGAAGTCCTAGAGAGGGTTGCCATGCCCTCCTCCAGGGGATCTTCTCAGCCCAGAGATTAAACCCAGGTCTCCCACATACCAGATGAATTCTTTACTGTCTGAGCCACCAGCAAAACCCATATGTTAAAAAGTGAAATTATATCATTCTTCAATACCATATAGAAAAATAATCTCAAAACAGATTAAAGATCTAAATGTGACACTGGGCGCTATAACACTCCCAGAGGAAAACATAGGCAGAGTACTCTGACATAAATCACAGCAATATCTTTTTTAATCTGTCTCCCAGAATAATGGAAACAAAAGCAAAAATGTTCAAATAAGATGTACTTTTGCATAGCAAAGGAAACAGTAAAGAAAACGAAAAGAAAACACACATATCGGGAAAAAATATTTGCTAAGGATGTGACTGACAAGGGATTAGTTTCCAAAATTTACCCACAGTTCATGACACTTGATAGTATTAAAGCAAATAATATTGTTTAAAAACGGGCAGAAGACCTAAATAGACATTTCTCGAAAGAAGACATACTGATGACCAAGAAGCACATGAAAAGATGTTCAACATCACTAATTACTAGACAAAAGCAATTCAAAACTTCAGTGAGATATCATCTCACACCAGCCAGAATTTGTTGTTGTTCAGTCACTCCATCATGTCCGACTCGTTGTGACGCCATGGACTGCAGCATGCCAGGCTTCCCCTGACCATTTTCCAGCCCAAATGGTCATCATCAAACTGCAGTGGTCATCCACAAACAGTAAGTGCTGGAGAGGCTGTGGGGAGAAGGGAACCCTCCCACACTGTTCGTATGAATGTAAACTGGTACTGCCCCTATGTCATACAGTATGGAGCTTCCTTAAAAATCTAAAAACAGAGCTACCATATGACCCTGCAATCCCATTCCTGGGGATATATCTGGAGCAAAATATAATCCGAAAGGGTACATGCACCCTGTGTTCATTGCAGCACTGTATATGCTAGCCAAGAAATGGAAGCGACCTAAATGTCTATCGACAGTAATGGATAAAGAGGAAGTGGTACCCATATACAATGAAATATTACTCAGCCATTAAAAGGAATGAAATAACATCATGTGCAGCAGCATGGACGGACCTAGAGATTGTCATAGTGAATACAGTCAGTCAGATAGAGAAGGAGAACTATTGTATGATACTCCTTATATGTGGAATATAAAAAAAAATTATACAAATACACTTACAGAAAGAGACTCACGAACTTAAAGAACAAACTTATGGTTGTTGGGGGGAAGGATGGGGAAGGGATAGTTAGGGAGTTTGGGATGGACATGTACACACTGCTATATTTAAAATGGGTAACCAACAAAGACCTTCCATAGCACATGGAACTCTGCTCAATATTAGTGTGGCAGCCGGGATGGGAGGGGAGTTTGGGAAAGAATGGATACATATATTTGTATGACTGAGTCCTTTTGCTTCCCACCTGAAATTATCACAAGGTTGGTAGTCTGCTACACTACAATAAAAAATTAAAAAATAACAAAAAGTAAAACTGAGAAACAGTGTTATCTCTTATGCGGTCCCATGTTTTGCAACAGAGGGTAGGTGGAGCCTATATAGATATTTTTCTCCTGGAATAAGGTGAAACTTCACTTATGTTAGGTATTAATTCTTGATTTGCTTACATGGAGCTTAGCACAAATAACTCCACTGTGGGTCTGTTGTCTGCTTTTTAACAATCATTAAGTGTACCATTAAAGGGTCAAGTTAAAAACATAATTAACTCAATGGCAAACTTAAGGATTAGCTGAAAGAATCATAGCTCACAGTAAACTAATGTTTGCATACAGTACTGTAGCATTCAAGGCAGGAGGTACAGTATCTAGTGCCAGCCACATAAGTGTTTCAAAAGATTCAGTGAAAGAATGTTCCTGATTTGCTTTTGTTCTGATGCAGGACATTCTTGTTGAGTCAAAGTTTCTGTGCTATTACTTAAATTTCCTGGGAGTAAATGCCAGTTAAATGTGTGGTGCTCTCCCTATGGTGTTCTTTGTGATTTTGCTTTTCTCCAAAAAAATGTAGAAAATAAAAGGCTTCTAAGGGCAAGGCTGCTTGGTTTTCTCAGGGGTATTTCATGTATTTTGTTTCAACTTCAGAGTCTTTACCATAGTTGAATTCACTGCAAGTTGTTAAAGAAATTACATGTGAGTTGATGAGTTCAATATGGTTTTTCTTTCACAGAATTCCTCCACCTCGAGCTCCCCCTATGAACATCCTCTCTGCAGTCATCACTGAAGCCTTTGGAGTGGCACTTGTAGGCTATGTGGCCTCATTGGCTCTTGCGCAAGGATCTGCCAAAAAATTCAGATATTCAGTTGATGACAATCAGGTGTAGTATGTCCCAGTCCCTCTCCACACCTCCCCATAGCTATTGTATCATTTTGATGTGTACTTCCAGATGCTGAAAATGTTGAATTTATGAAAAATACAGCTTTCCTAAGTGTATAACAAGAATAGGTAGAACAAACCGAAACAAAAATCTGTAAATCACTGATAGAAAGGTGAAAATCTGATCTTCGTGGGTTGGTTATAGTACACTTTTGTTTTGAAATAGAGGAATATCTTGTTCTTTTTGTTTTTAGCAGAAAATCTAAATATATTTATGATTACATGCCAACTTTTTAAAAAATTCAGATTTCAAAATACAAAGAACACTATTATCCTTCTATGTAAAAAACTAAAGGATGAATGGGTTTCTTAGCATACAAAGGATGAAGATTTTACTGAGAATGTTTCTGAATCTACTTTTACTAGTGTTTTGTCTCAGCCCCATGGCCCTGCATTCCTACACAGGTCTGTAGACAGAGCTGTGCAGTAGTGGTTAGAATCCCAAAGTACCTATGCCTAAAATCTCACTCTGAAATTGTTTCTATGCCCTAGTTTTGTCATTTGTAAAAAAGCAGGTTTATTCATTCCTCAGATGGATATTGAACCCTATGTATAGCAGACACCGGTCTAGGAGCAAGGGACACGATGGTGCATAATACAGACCATGTCTTTCTTCATCTCAAAACCTCCCAGTGGCTTCCCGTAGTACTTAGATTAAAAGCCTATTGCCAAGGCTTACAAGGCCCTACCTGACCTTACTACCATCTCTTTTCCTCTATAATCTCACATTTTTTTTGTAGCCTGTTCTAGCCTCACTTCCTGCCTTGGTTTTTTTTTTTTTTTTTTTTTTTTTTGAGTTTACTAGCTATGTTGTTAGTTCAGGATGTCTGTACTTGCTGTTCCCCTTTCCAGGAATTCTATACCCTCAAGTAGCTGCATTCCTCCTTTATTTAAATATTTCCTTCTTAGAGAGGTCTTTCTTGGTAAGCCAAATCCTCATCTCCAAAGCTTTCCACTCTGTTTTACTTCCTGTGTTCATCTTGTTTATTGGTAGCATCCCTACACTAGAACACCAGTCTGTGAGGGCAGGGATTTTTGTCTGTGTTCCTGGCAACAGCAGGAGCAGAAAAGTGTTAGGAAGCTTCTGTAGGAATCCAGGTGACATCTGATGACTTGGATGCAGCAATGAAGGAGATGAGAAGTGGACGGATTATGAATTGGATGTGGGCACCATCTGGGCAAAGGGGAAGTCAAGACTCTCTCTAAAGCTTTTGGCCCAAATAGAGCTTGAGGTGGGGAAGGGTGTGGGAGGACCAGCGTGGGAGTATGTAGAGCAATAGCTGATTAATTACGCTTGGGATACCTGTTAACCATTCAAATGAAGATGCTGAGGAATAGGTTGGCTATGTCAGTCTGAAGTTCAGAAGAGTAGTCTAGACTTGGAGATATAAATGTGGCAGTTGTCAACATGTTTGGGTAGCTCAGAATAGAGACAAGAGTGATCCAATGTGTGTGATTGTTTATGTGAGGAGGCTGAGAAGCAGTGACTGGGGAGGTCGGAGGAAACCAGGGGGGTGAGAGGTTCCAGAAGGACCCGGAAGGAGGCTTTAAGGCGGAGAATGTGGGCAACTGTGTCAAATGCCACTTTTACTGCCAGGGGAGGTAGGAATTAACCATTGGATTTAGCACCCTGGAGGTCATTGGTGGAATGGTGGGAACAAAACCCTTTATTGTAGTAACTTGAAACCCGAGTAATTGGCAACAGATACAGTAAATACCTTGTGCTCCCCTATAAAGTTATTATTGTTAGAAGGATCAAATGAGTGAAGGGCTCAGAACAGTTTCTGGCTCATTGTAAGCACTCAGTAAATGTTAGCTATTTTTAGAATGATGGTTAAATTACAACCAGTGGAGAGAACAGAAGAATACAAAAGACGTTGCATTCCATGACAAGCTTTATCTGTGGTCTCTAAAATCTGGGCTTCCCAGGTGGCGCAGCAGTTAAGAATCCACTGTCAGTGCAGGAGATGCTAGAGAGGCAGGTTCGATCCCTGGGTCAGGAAGATCCCATGGAGAAGGAAATGGCAACCTACTCCAATATTCTTGCCTGTATAAACAGACTCCTCCATGGACAGAGGAGTCTGGCAGGCTATAGTCCATGGTGTTGCAAAGAATTGGGCATGACTGAGCACATCGCACACACACACACTCAAACACACACACGCTAAAAGTGGATTGTGATTAGGAAATGATACATTGCCCTGTCATCATTCCTGCAGGAACTCCTGGCCCATGGCCTCAGCAATGTGATCGCTTCGTTCTTCTTCTGTATACCAAGTGCGGCTGCCATGGGAAGAACTGCTGGCCTGTATGGCACGGGAGCAAAGACACAGGTAACTTCACTCTTCAGCAGGCACAGAAGGACTGAGAGAGAGAGAGGAATGAGCGTCTAAGTCCCCGAGAATACTGTTATTTCTTTAGTCTCTTAAACATCAAGGCAGTTTATCTGTTCTCCTGCTTAGAAATGATCCTTGAGAAGCTGAAGGATTCAATGAGCAGACAAAAAGAAAAAAGTCCTGTACTAGCGCAGGCTTCTTGTCGTCAATCGCTGAGCAAAAGCTCCCTCTCGTGGTGCCTCTGATTTTACTTTTTGCTAATCTAACCCGTCGGTTTGAAATTTTAAAATCTTCGTTCATTTCCTTTAAATAGAATGAAAACAGTTGTATTCAGCATCAGCCTTGATACTGACATTCCTGTCTATAGAGATGTACAAGTATGTGAGTGAACAATACAATGTCTGCACATTTTGGCTTAAAGAAACAATGGTGTGTTTTAGGAACTCAAATCAGTTTGACATTTTAGAGCCTGCTGTATAGTGGTGATTATGCTGGATACTAGTAAAATTATCAATGGTGGCAATTAAGATGATTCTGTGATGATAAGGATGGTGGTGGTGGTGGAAGCATATATTGAGTTATATGCCAGGCATTGCATGTCATACTTTTTTTGTAAATGAACTAATTTAATGTTTTAGGAAACTCTATGAAGGAGGCATAGTTATTATTCTAGGTTTCCACACGAGAACATTGAGGGAAAGAGGGTTAAACTAACTTACCCAGGTCACGGAGCTAGGAAGTGGCAGAGCTGAGATTTGAACCCAGATAGATTTACCCCAAATCTTGCATTCTTTTTTTTTTTTTATTTTTTTTTTATTTTTTTTAATTTTATTTATTTTTTTTAATCACATCCATAGTGTATCTTTTTTTTTTTTTTTTTAACATGTATTCCCCATCCCGGTCCCCCCTCCCACCTCCCTCTCCACCCAATCCCTCTGGGTCTTCCCAGTGCACCAGGCCCGAGCACTTGTCTCGTGCACCCAACCTGGGCTGGTGAACTGTTTCACCCTAGATAATATACGTGTTTCAATGCTGTTCTCTTGAAACATCCCACCCTCGCCTTCTCCCAGAGTCCACAAGTCTGTTCTATACATAGGAGTCTCTTTTTCTGTTTTGCACATAGGGTTATCATTACCATCTTTCTAAATTCCATATATATGTGTTAGTATACTGTAATGGTCTTTATCTTTCAGGCTTACTTCGCTCTGTATAATGGGCTCCAGTTTCATCCATCTCATTAGAACTGATTCAAATGCATTCTTTTTAATGGCTGAGTAATATTCCATGGTATATATGTACCACAGCTTCCTCATCCATTCATCTGCTGATGGGCATCTAGGTTGCTTCCATGTCCTGGCTATTATAAACAGTGCTGCGATGAACATTGGGGTACATGTGTCTCTTTCAGATCTGGTTTCCTTGGTGTGTATGCCCAGAAGTGGGATTGCTGGGTCATATGGCAGTTCTATTTCCAGCTTTTTAAGAAAGCTCCACACTGTTTTCCATAGTGGCTGTACTAATTTGCATTCCCACCAACAGTGTAAGAGGGTTCCCTTTTCTCCACACCCTCTCCAGCATTTATTGCTTGTAGACTTTTGGATAGCAGCCATCCTGACTGGTGTGTAATGGAACCTCATTGTGGTTTTGATTTGCATTTCTCTGATAATGAGTGATGTTGAGCATCTTTTCATGTGTTTGTTAGCCATCTGTATGTCTTCCTTGGAGAAATGTCTGTTCAGTTCTTTGGCCCATTTTTTGATTGGGTCATTTATTTTTCTGGAGTTGAGCTGGAGGAGTTGCTTGTATATTTTTGAGATTAATCCTTTGTCTGTTGCTTCGTTTGCTATTATTTTCTCCCAATCTGAGGGCTGTCTTTTCACCTTGCTTATAGTTTCCTTTGTTGTGCAAAAGCTTTTAAGTTTCATTAGGTCCCATTTGTTTATTTTTGCTTTTATTTCTAAAATTCTGGGATGTGGGTCATAGAGGATCCTGCTGTGATTTATGTCGGAGAGTGTTTTGCCTATGTTCTCCTCTAGGAGTTTTATAGTTTCTGGTCTTACATTTAGATCTTTAATCCATCTTGAGTTTATTTTTGTGTATGGTGTTAGAAAGTGTTCTAGTTTCATTCTTTTACAGGTGGTTGACCAGTTTTCCCAGCACCACTTGTTAAAGAGGTTGTCTTTTTTCCATTGTATATCCTTGCCTCCTTTGTCAAAGATAAGGTGACCATAGGTTCGTGGATTTATCTCTGGGCTTTCTATTCTGTTCCATTGATCTATATTTCTGTCTTTGTGCCAGTACCATACTGTCTTGATGACTGTGGCTTTGTAGTATAGTCTGAAGTCAGGCAGGTTGATTCCTCCAGTTCCATTCTTCTTTCTCAGGATTACTTTGGCTATTCGAGGTTTTTTGTATTTCCATACAAATTGTGAAATTATTCGTTCTAGTTCTGTGAAAAATATCGCTGGTAGTTTGATAGGGATTGCATTGAATCTGTAGATCGCTTTGGGTAGTATAGCCATTTTGACAATATTGATTCTTCCAATCCATGAACACGGTATATTTCTCCATCTGTTTGTGTCCTCTTTGATTTCTTTCATCAGTGTTTTATAGTTTTCTATGTATAGGTCTTTTGTTTCTTTAGGTAGATATACTCCTAAGTATTTTATTCTTTTTGTTGCAATGGTGAATGGTATTGTTTCCTTAATTTCTCTTTCTGTTTTCTCATTGTTAGTGTATAGGAATGCAAGAGATTTCTGTGTGTTAATTTTATATCCTGCAACTTTACTGTATTCGTTGATTAGCTCTAGTAATTTTCTGGTAGAGTCTTTAGGATTTTCTATGTAGAGGATCATGTCGTCTGCAAACAGCGAGAGTTTCACTTCTTCTTTTCCTATCTGGATTCCTTTTACTTCTTTTTCTGCTCTGCAAATCTTGCATTCTTAAGCACTGTTCTATACAAGGAAATTCATATGTGTGTTGATTTAATAAATTAACATGAACAGCTAACCATTGTTAAAACAACTCATGCATATTTTCTTTTCTTTTTCGGCTTTTTCTGTGTTATTAGTTGGCTGTGACTTGTCTTGGTTGCTGCACGCTGGCTTTCTCTGGTCGCTGTTGGTGGGCTGCCTTTGTTGCCCTGCGTGGGCTTCGCATGCAGCGCTCCTCTTGTTGCAGGGCCTGGGCTCTGGGCGTGGGCTTCAGTCCTTGCAGCACGTGGGCTCAGGGGCTGGGGCACACGGCCTTGTTGCTCTGCGGCATGTAGCATCTTCCTGGACCAGGGATCCAACTGGTGTCTCTTGCATTGCAAGTGGAATCTTTGCCTGCTGAGTAACCTGGGAAACCCATTTTTTTAGTAGCCTACCTTATATTAAGTCCTTTTGGGGGTGTTGTAGAAGAGTAAATTTGAAAAAAATATAGTTCTTGACCTTGGGGGAGAGTGGCAAGAGAAAGATGGGTAAATAAACATTAAAATATAGCATAAAACTAATAAAATTATTGATAAATGTATCATGGAGCAGATGGGAAGCAGTAACAAATTCTGATTCTATAATAATATGACATATTATTGCCACAACACATCAGCAAGGATGTGTAATTCTCATTCAATGTTGTTTTACATGACATTTGATTTTTAGGTGGTTCATGATTTAAAGCATAAGTTCATAATGTGCATTGGCACAAGCATTTTTGCCAACTCTCAAATATTTGTAATCTAAATTTGAATGTTTAATACATAGTGTACTCAAATATCATTCCTTACTCTGAAGACTTATATCTGTAAAATTCGAGGATTCTATAGTGATTTCCACCTGGTTTTTTACAAGGATGAGTGTGTGAGATTTCCTTTCATCAGTTCTTCATGGTATTCTCTTCATTAGACTTCAGAAGAAAGAAAGGCACCTAACAAAATGCTAATTCAGAGAAGCAAAGCTCAGTAGCACTGTATTTTTATGCTGTTTTGCTTGTTGAGATCATCCATAATCTGCTCAACTAGTCCCATTAAATTGCACAGGGAAGTAATCTGACTTAATGTGCATACCTCAATTGAGGATGTTTTCCCATGGTAGTCATTTTGGCGTTACAACTGTTAAGTTTACATGGGGATAACAGACATGATTTGAAGAAGGCTCTGGGACAGACAAGTCTTAAAAGTTTTGTTCTAAATAGACTATTTGTGAAACCAGCTTTCCATGTGACAAGACTTCACAAAGTAATCCCTTAAAATATCTCTCTTTCTCTCGTAGGTACTAGACTTATACCCAGTAAGTTACTCTAGAAGAATGAAAATCTTTCAACTTTCAGGCTAATAATAGCCAATCATTTCACCAATTGATTCTTTCTTATTCAGAAACACTATGAGTATCTCTGTAGAAAGATAGCTTTTAAAATGCAGATATGGCCTTGTTCCTTCCTCCCAGAGCCCATAAAAGGTCTTAGCTTTCTGACCTTTCAGCTACCCAAACTGTGTGCTTCCCCCTGCAGCCTCATCCTGGACTGTTCTCTGCCTCACTCTCAGCTCTCTAGTCCGGCGCCTCCTTCCTCGTGAGCTCTGGTGTCTTCCTTTTATCCGTTTTGTCTCTGTGGCTGCCTCCTCTTCCCTTCTAAGGTAACTCCTCCCATTCATCAGATTTCACTAAGACTTCTGGGCCGACTGTGTTCTTTCCTTCAGAGACCTTAGCTCTGTTGGACTTCACGTGTTTATCAGTGTGATTACACGATTGTTGGACTTCACATGTTTATCAGTGTGATGACACGATTGGTGTCTGCCTTCTGCTCTTGACTGCAGCTCCTAGAAGTCCCTGTCTGCTTTTGTTCCCCATATCATCAGTGTCCAGCCCAACACTTAGCACATGGCTAAGCACATAGCACTTAGCACTTAGCACAGTAAGTGTGGGAAGAGTGAATGAAAAATAAAAGTATTGGATGATTATAAAACTAGTCAATTTTGCTGGTTTAAGAAGGAACAGAATAAGTCAGGCAATAGCTTTTATTCTCACTTAATATAGTACATTTGAAATCAGGAAAATGCTTTCATTTGAAATCAGGCTTAGGATCAAGTTCAGTTGCTCAGTCATGTCTGACTCTTTGCAACCCCATGGACTGCAGCACGCCAGGCCTCCCTGTCCATCACCAACTCCCAGAGTTTACCCAAACTCATGTCCATTGAGTTGGTGATGCCATCCAACCATCTCATCCCCTGATGTCCCCTTCTCCTCCTGCCCTCAATCTTTCCCAGCATCAGGGTCTTTTCCAGTGAGTCAACTTTTTGCATCAGGTGGCCAAAGTATTGGAATTTCAGCTTCAACATCAGTCCTTCCAGTGAACAACCAGGACTGATCTCCTTTAGGATGGACTGGTTGGATCTCCTTATAGTCCAAGGGACTCTCAGTGTTTAGCTGAGCAAAGTCTTCCCAGTCTCTAAACTGAGGATAACCAACCAGTCAGTATCCAGACTAATCCTTCCCAGTGTCTTTTACACTGGGGATAACCCACTTACTGCCTGACTTGAATAAAATCTTCCCAGTCCTTCAACTGAGGATGTCACTCAGTATCTAAACTGAGCAACCCAGGTACGTCTTCTTGAAACCAAGTTCCAAGGATAGCCTTGTTTCCCCATCAACTAAAACTTGAAATCATCAATAGTGGGAGATCCTATAACCACGAAAAACTCAAATTCGTCTGGACTCCCTGAGGTGGTCGATGGGCACGTGGAGCCTCTGCTGGTACCAAGGCTTTAAACCCTCATGGGATTCAGGCAGAGGAGAGGGATCCTTCTTCATGGTTGCCATAACTGTCAACTTAAAAAAAATATTCACAACCTAAAAGTTGAGAGTTATGCTTTAGTGAAAGTTGCTCAGTTGTGTCCGACTCTTTGCAACTCCATTGACTATATCCAGTCCCTGGAATTCTCCAGGCCAGAGTATTGGAGTGGGTAGCCTTTCCCTTCTCCAGGGGATCTTCCCAACCCAGGGACTGAACCCAGGTCTCCCACGTTGCAGGTGGATTCTTTACCAGCTGAGCCACAAGGGAAGCCCAGTTATGCTTTATTCAGTGGGGATTTTTAGGACTTCAAGCCTGGAGGACAGCAACTCAAGGGACCCTGAGAAAACTGATCTGAGGAAGCCAGGGGAGGAGTAAAGTCATGGAGAAGTTTTGCAACAAGGAGCAAGTAGTGTGAAAATCAAAACATTATTATAAAAGGAAGCCAGATATATTCACGTTAAGGAATTTGGTGCTTTTCTAGGTAGGGGAAGCTATGAGAGTCTGGGCTCCCTGAAATCACCCCTTTCATGCGTGTCTCCACCATCAGGGACAGTGTTCTGTGCTTTCCACACCCCGAGCTTCTCTGAGGTGCATCACAGGGAGTGGCTGCCGGATCACAGGGATTCTTCCCGGCTGCCCTTAGGAGCACAGGAGCTCACACTGGAGGGCTGCAGTCCCTGATGGCGGTGACATCCTTCTTTACTGATATGGCAGGAAATACTCTGTTTCTCAGGGTTCAGTTCAGTTCAGTTCAGTTGCTCAGTCGTGTCCGACTCTTTGTGACCCCATGGACTGCAGCACGCCAGGACTCCCTGTCCATCACCAACTCCCGGAGTTTACTCAAACTCATGTCCATTGAGTCAGTGATGCCATCCAGCCATCTCATCCTCCATCGTCCCTTTCTCCTCCCATCTTCAATCTTTCCCAGCATCAGGGTCTTTTCAAGAGTCAGTTCTTCGCATCAGGTGGCCGAAGTGTTGGAGCTTCAGCTTCAGCATCAGTCCTTCCAATGAATATTCAGGATGGTTTTCCCTTAGGAAAAGGTTAACACTGATGTTTGCATAGTCATCTTTGTAAGTAACCTGTAACACAGATAATATTTGTTTGAGAATGTAACAAGAAGAAAATATAGATTATTTCATTATCCTGTACCAGAGTTAGCATAAACCTGAATAGTTACAACTTTAGAATAAAAAGTTATCTGTGGATATATAATTACCATGAAATGAAATGAGTTAAAGAAAACTAAAATGCCTAGAAAAATGTTTTTCCTCTGGTTAATTAAATGTGTGAACAGTTTTTTCCTACTAGTTGCAGTCTAAGCTAAGCTGGAACTTATTAATAAGGAGGCATTTAGCTTTGTTTGTTTTCTGAGTTTAATAAAGGAAACAAGTTTATCTCCCTTCTGGTTGTAATTTGCCTTTAAATTTTTTTCTAGGTAAGTCAGAGGTATATAAGAAAGTAGCACTGCATATACAAAGTTATGGATGTTCAGAATGTGGGTAATACTTGAAAACATAGTATAACTGTGTTATTACAGAAGTCTAAAGTCAGAGAAGTCTGTTACAGCATTGCAAATATCCCAACTTAGTTTAACCTCAGTGTATAGTGACTGAGTTGGTTATCTACAGAACAGTAGCTTGGACTGAATGCTTTTAAAGGGGTTTTCCAAATTCAAACTTTAGCACCTGGGTCTCTTATTTATGGAGACAAAGAGTGTCAGTATTTTGAGTTTTGAAAGTGGAAACTATTATTGATTTCTATGCCCGAGGAGTAGATACCCTGGGCATAACTGATAAGGATTTCTTATCTAATTAGATGCCCTTGTCTTTTGATCTAGGGCATCAACAAAGATGAAATGCATTAAAGAGCTGACATAAGCTATTTGATTACATAGTCTGTTTCATTATATGACTTACTATCTAAGGTAAACAAATAGTTTTTTTTCACCCATTGTCATCCTTTGAAAGTAAGATCCATTTACTCTTATTTTAACAATAAGACCGAAATTATAGTTCAGTGAGCACACTATTGTTAATGTATTTACAAAAAACTGTGTAAATAAAAGATAAGTAATCTTTAGAGAAAATCTTGAAGGTAAGTTGAAGTTTACTGTTTTTAAAAAGAATTATTTAATTAGGTTGTAGCTTCTCTAACAGCTTTAGTGTATTTAAGGTATCTAGAAACTTGAAATATATTTGACTTTATGGATCTAATTCAGTTCATAATCCATATTCCTTCTAATTCTTAGCTCTGTGACCTTGGGAAAGTCACTTTGCCTTTATGTCCCTCAAATCCTTCAAAGGAGTTTAGAGTCTAGCTGTCTCAAGTTCATAGCTGCAAATAAGATTAAGGTACCTTTGTAAGTGTTTGATAAAGGTCTCACAGCAACACTGCATGCCATTGTCTTTTGACATGAAGTGCAGTTTAACAATTGGTGCCTTTTTCTTTCCACATGAACATGGATATACTGAATCACTTATGGGGATATCTGAATGAATTCTATAACCTGCCTTCTGACAACGAGCTTTTTTCAGTCTAGTGGAATGACAGGCATAATATTTTGTCATTTAAAAACTCATGTAAAATCACCAATTACTCCTAAATGATCAGTTTAGTGACAGTTTAGTGTATTAGAACTTCCCTAACAACCTGTAGTTCCCTAATGAGTTATTTCCCACAGAAGGATTTTTCCCTTTTACATGCTATATAATGCTGTATGGGGAGTTCCACTAAATATGGAAGGAACTTGTACCAGTTGCTTTCTCTTAGTTTTATGATTTTGAGTTTAATCCATGCTGTTACATTTGTGAATAGTCTATTCTTTTTATTATTGAGTAGTATTCTATTGTAAGGATGTACCAAAATTTATCTATTCACCAATTGGTAAGCAATTTAATTATTTACAGTTTTGGTGTTTATGAATACAGCTGCTATAAATATTTACATGTATGTTGATAGGCATAAGTTTTCATTTCTCTTAGGTAGTTTTAGGTCAGACATTACTTCATGAGAAACTGCCAAACTTTTTTTGGAAGTGGCTGCACCATATCTTAAGTCCCACTAGCAGTGTCTGAGAACTCAAGTTGCTCTGAGACCTTACTATTGATTATTTGTCTATATATTTATTTTTAACCACTCCAGTTTCCTTTGATTCCTCCATTATGATATTTTAGGTTTTTTTTTTTTTGGTCCTGGGAAAGCCTCTTGGTAGGCTGACAGTTTGGCTAAATGTTTCTATTAAGATGTGAACATTTGTTTACGTGAAACTGGTTCTCCGTCAAGTGGAGCTTAGTTAAAAGTGAGCTGTTTTGAATTGCCTTTTGTCAACATATTGAGTTGGTTAAAACACAGTGCTAATGATTTTTTTAGGATTAATAAAATTGTTTGCTTCACTGCAGAGACTGCTTCCATAATCCCATACAACTGTTTCATACTAACGAAGGACTCCTAAGAAGAGAGCAAAGGCTTCTGTGGAAATTTGTCATCAGCCCAGAAAACCCCTAAAGCTGTGTGTATTCAGTTATTACCCACATAACTAAGAAATGAGAAGGGAGGTCAGGTGAACAACAGTGGGCTTAAGTACAATTGAAATGTCATTTTCACCATTAAACAAACAACAGAAAATTGTGATGTGTGATAATAGTTGACAGTGTCCTGTTTCTTTGTGTAGAATGGCTTTTCTCTCAGTGCTGACTGAATTTCGTCATACTAGTTTGTCACCTGTCACGTTTGGGCTCCTTCAACTATACAATATAGATAACGACAATCTGTATAATTTAACTAACAATCATTTGCCAACATTTTGTTTCTTCTTATCAAGAAGAACTAAGATTATCTTTCCCCCACTATAACTTTGGAATAACAAAAAAATTCAAGGATTTCTTTTTTTGCCTGTCTTGTGTTTTACAGGTGGCTTGTCTAATATCTTGCATTTTTGTCCTGATAGTCATCTATGCAATAGGGCCTTTGCTTTACTGGCTGCCCATGGTAAGCAATACTTTTTATTATTTAATTTTAAAATTTAACATTAAAGAGAATCATTCCATTTTAAGCATTTCTTTGAAGAACAACCTCAGTGATCCTAAATCTGAGAAGTTATGTGGCATAAGTAATGGTTGTATGGAGGAGAGATAGAAAGAGCCCACATTTGATGGGTAAGGTATGGGAGGGTACCATGGCTGTTTTCATTTAATTAGATTTATTCTGTATTCAGTTGGAAGGTAGAATTAAGCAATCTCTGTTATAAGAAATAGACTTTGGAAGAAGTTTATAAAATTTAGACTCTTAGAAATGCATGCTGGGCAAGAGAGTAGGGAACAAAATATTTCTTGCCACCCTTGATACATATTTATACAAAGTAACTCAGAACATTAGTGTGGGTATCTGCCTTGCTTTTCGCAGGTCTGGGACATTATAGCAAGATGCTGGTCTTCAGGGATCCAGAGACAGTTCTTGTTCTAATTCTTCCTTCATGTAATAAGAATAAATCATTTTCATGAGAGGATCTTCCAATAATCAAGTTTATTTCTCAAGAGACTTATAAATATATTCTGATGCAACCAGATAATTTATATTCAAGATGATTAAAGAAATACATGATACACTGAATTTTTGCAATAAATTGCAAACAAATGGCAATGAATAATTATAACGTTAACAGGACATTCAGTCTTACCACATTCACCCTTATAGTTCACTACTTTTCATTTCCTCCTTTTTTCAAGAATGGAATAGCATCTACCCTGTGACTTTTCTAGAACTGATATTATGTTCTTAAAGTACAATAATAGGTTAGTTCTAAACAAAATGAATATTAGTCTTCTAAATGATGATAACTATTCTCTAGTAAGTATTTAGAAAACAAAGACATAAAATACCTTGATTCTTTTAAATTTAGATTAAAGTCTTTATCTTGCATCTTCATCAGCTTATTTTTTATTTGTAGTGTGTTCTTGCAAGTATTATTGTTGTGGGACTGAAGGGAATGCTAATACAGTTTCGAGATTTAAAAAAATACTGGAATGTGGATAAAATTGACTGGGTAAGTAGAAGTTTAACCTAAAATTGCTCTCTTGGCTTAAACACATGTTACAAAATAAGCTTTAATAGTTCCATTTGCAGAAGATAGTTTTTTAGCCGTTTGAGACTTACATTTTACAAACAGTTTTTACTTATTTACAGACTATAATTTTTTTTCAAAGTCTTAAAACATGAAAATATAAAATGTTCTTATAAGAACAGAAATGGAATTGTATCAAGTTTTGACTGATGTGCTGTTTAAGACCTTTCTAAAAAATGTTATCACTTGAATGGTTTGTGAATTCCCAGTTTCCATTATGAATTGATTATAGAAGTTAAGATCATCAAGAAACAGCTAGTAGAAATATGACTATATATAACATATATGAAAAGCCAGCATTAATTTCTAAGAAACATATACTTTATTGACATAGGATAAAATATTAATAGTGACCATGTTCTCGGTCGCTCAGTCACATCCAAGTCTTTACAGTCCCATGGATCGTAGCTCCCTAGGCTCTTCTGTTCATGGGATTTCCCAGGCAAGAATACTAGAGTGGGTTGCCATTTCCTTCTCCAAATGGTGACCATATTCATTCTAAATACAGAGTCTCATGAATTGCTTTTTTAAGTGAGTTACACTGAGAAGAATATTATGTTAATAGTATATTGCTAGGAACACATTCCTCTGGTGGCTCAGCTGGTAAAGAATCTGCCTGCAATGCGAGAGACCAGAGTTCGATCCCTGGATTGGAAAGACCCCCTGGAGAAGGGGATGGCAACCCACTCCAGGATTCTGACCTAGAGAATTCCATGGACAAAGGAGCTGGTGGGCTACAGTCCATGGAGCTGCAAAGAGTCAGACACGACTGAGCGGCTAACAACATAGCATAAAGGAACAGATTAAATTATACTATAAAATATGGATTCTACTAACATCAGTTTTTAGTATGCTTGTTCTAGAGAAATGTGTCTGTGTGAGAACATTCAGTATTCTCTCCCTCCCATAGATGGGTGAGCTATTTCATTAGTAGACTCTGCTGAGTTCTATTATGGCATTTACCATATTGAAATGTAATTATCTATGTACTCCTCCTTCAAATTCTTTACTCTGAGAGACTTTGGAGGATTATTTATGCTGGAGCCTAATTTAATAATACTCCTCTTATATCTCAATATTACTGAGCTCCTACCAAGGTACAGTACTAGGTGTTACGTGAAAATGCAGAGATGAATAAAAAAGTACTTATCCTCTTCAGACACTGATATCTGTGCAGCCTGCAGACACAGACACATTAACTGTTACGTGAGGCATGATACAACATAACAGAAGCAAAAGTAGGAACTTGGCACTGGAGAAAAGTAGAAGCTGAAACATTTAGTTTGGACTGGGTTAATACAGAAGAGTTAGAGCAAAGCTGAAATGTAGACTGAGACTTGAAGGAATAGTATTTTTTAGGCAGTCCAAGAGACCAAAATTAACCAGGCTGATGAAGGAACAAGACTTTTTTAAGGTGATACATATGAAGTGGCACATGGAAATAGAAAAACTGAGACGATGCAAAGTTATTTAACAAGGTATTGATAATCCCATGATAAAGGTACTGATAAGAAGCTCATTAATCACATAAGGGGGAGGACATTATCATAATGGAAGGGGAGAGATCTCTAGGAAGTGTCGGGGATGAGATGGCATCACTAACTCAAACTAACATTAGTCTGAGTAAACTCAGGAAGATAGTGAAGGACAGGGAAGCTTGGCGCGCTGCTATCCAAGGGGTCGCAGAGTTGGACATGACTTAGCAAATGAAAAACCAGATATATGTATACATATATACATATTTATGCAATGAAATACCATTAAGCTATAAAAAGGAACAAAAATGGGTCATCTGTAGAGATATGGATTGACCTAGAGACTGTCATAAGGAGTGAAATATGCAGAAAGAGAAAACCAAATATCACAGAATAATGTATGTATGTGGAATGTAGAAAAATGGTGCAGATCAACCTATCTTCAGGGCAGGAACAGAGATGCAGATGCAGAGGCTGGACATGTGGACACAATGTGGCAGGCGGTGGGGTAAGATGGATTGTGAGACTGACATATATACCCTACTGTGTGTGAGGTAGAAGGCCAGTGGGAACCTGCTGTGTAGTGCTCAGCTCAGGGCACTGTGGTGATCTAGATGGGTGGGATGGAGATCCAAGAGGGTGGGGATGTATGTAAAATTTTAGTTCAGCTCAGTTCAGTCACTCAGTCCTGTCCGACTCTTTGCGACCCCATGGACTGCAGCAGGCCAGGCCTCCCTGTCCATCATCAACTCCCAGAGCTTACTCAAACTCATATCCATTGAGTCGGTGATGCCATCCAACCATCACATCCTCAGTCGCCCCCTTCTCCTTTCACCTACAATCTTTCCCAGCATCAGGGTCTTTTCCAATGAGTCAGTTCTTCCTATCAGGTGGCCAAAGTATTGGAGTTTCAGCTTCAGCATCAGTCCTTCCAATGAATATTCAGGACTGATCTCCTTTAGGATGGACTGGTTGGATCTCCTCGCAGTCCAAGGGACTCTCAAGAGTCTTGTCCAACACCACAGTTCAAAAGCATCATGCTTCAGTGCTCAGCTTTCTTTATAGGCCAACTCTCACATCCATACATGACCACTGGAAAAACCATAGCCTTGACTAGACAGACCTTTGTTGGCAAAGTGATGTATATTTACAGGCTGATTCACATTGTGGTACAACAGAAACACACAACATTGTAAACCAACTATACCCTAATAAGTAAAATAGAGAGCCTTATGCATCATTAGTAGTAAGCTACCTTAATTCTTTTTATAGCAATCCTAGAAAAGAGAATGCTATTGAAAATGATCAAAACTATTCACAGTTTTATTTGTAATATTATTACATTGAATGAGAAAATAGTGGAAAATTATGGCATGCTTTTGAACCAAACACATAAACCAACAATTTACAGATTTTAAATAAAGTGTTTGTGAGGATTAAATTAGCAGTTGGCAACATCTCTATATAAAAGACTGAACTTTTTCACTTTGCCACTCCATTAACCTCTGCCACAGGGAGTCTAATGGGAGTGTGGATTTGTTTCTTTTTTTCTGGATTTTGTGTGTGTGTTTGTGTGAACATATATTTTTATTTCTCTCAGGTAATTACCCAGTAGTGAAACAGGTTGGTTATGTGGTATGTGTGTGTATATATATATATATATATATATATATATATATATATATGCCTCCCTGTAGCTCAAATGGTAAAGAATCTGCCTACGATGCAGGAGACCAGGGTTTGATCCCTGGGTCTGGAAGATCCTCTGGAGAAGGGAATGGCAAGCCACTCCAGTATTCTTGCCTGGAGAATCCCATGGACATAGAAGCCTGGTGGGCTACAGTCCACGGAGTCACAAAGAGTTGGACACAACTGAGTGACTAACACACACACACACACGCACATATGTAATTTAATTTATAAAAATATATATAATTTATTTTTAATTGTAGGATAATTGCTTTAGAATGCTGTGTTGCTTTCTGCCATACAACAATGTGAACCAGCTATAAGGATACATATGTCCCCTCTTTATTGAACCTTCTTCCCACTCTCCAACCCATCCCACCACCCCTGGTTGTCAGAGGGCACAAGTTTGAACTTCCTGTGTTATCCAGAAACTTCCCACTAAATACCTACCTTGCATATATTAATGTATATCTGGGTCTTGTAGTATTCTTATTCCTAGTTTGTAAAGAAATCTTCATAATGTCTCCATAGGGGCCGTATCAATTTACTTTCCCACTAACAATGAAAGAAGTTTGCCTTTTTCCACATCCTCTCCAACATTTATTTTTTGTAGATTTTTTAATGATGGCATTTCTGACTAGTGTACGGTAATACCTCATTATACTTTTGATTTGCATTTCTCTAATAATGAGTGATACTGAGCATTTTTTTCCCTGTGTTTTCTGGCTAGCTGTATGTCTTTTTCAGAGAAATGTCTGTTTAGGTCTTCTGCCCATTTTTAGATTGGATTGTTTGTTTTTCTGATATGAGCTTGCTGCATGAGCTGCTTATATGTTTTGGAGATTAATCCTTTGTCAGCTATTTCATTTTCCAACTATTTTCTCCCATTCTGAGGATGTTTTCATCTTGTTTATGATTTCCTTTGCTGTGCAAAGGCTTTTAAGTTAAATTAGTCCCAATTGTTTATGCTTATTTTTGTTTTCATTACTTTAGGAAGTGGCTCAAAGAGGATCTTGCTATGATTTATGTAGAAGAGTGTTCTGCCTATGTTTTCCTCCAAGAGTTGTATAGACTTTTGGTCTTACATTTCGGTCTTTAATGCATTTTGAGTTTATTTTTGTGTACGGTATTAGGAAGTGTTCCAATTTCATTTTTTTACATGTACTTACACTGCTCCAGCATTCCCAGCATGACTTCTGGAAGAGGCTGTCATTTCTCCATCATTCTGTGTTTCTGTTTTTGTGTCAGGATCATGATCTCTTGTTTATTCATTTTTTCTGACAATGCAAGGGACTTTATTAGGAAGGGATGCCTGAGTGGAGAGCAGTAGGGTAAAGGAGCCCAGGGGAACTGCTCTGCCACGTGGCTCGCAGTCTTAGGTTTTATGGTGATAGTATTACTTTCCAGGATGTCTTTGGTCAATCATTCTGACTCCTTCCTGGTGTTTCCTGGTGGCACACGCATTGTTCAGCCAAGATGTGTGCCAGAAGGAAGGACCCTGAGAGGCAGTTGGACCTGTGAGTACCATGTTGTCTTGATCACTGTAGCTGTAGTGTACAGTTTAATGTCAGGAAAATTGATTCTTCCAGCTCCATTGTTCTTCCTCAAGATTGCTTTGGCTATTTGGAGTCTTTCATGTTTCCATAGACCTTGTAAATTTTATTGTTCTAGTGCTGTGAAAAATGTCAATGTTAATTTGATAGAGTTTGCATTGAATCTAAATTACTTTGGTTAGTATACTCATTTTCACAATATTTATTCTCCCAGTCTAAGAAGATGGTATATCTCTCCATCTGTTTATGTCATCTCTGATTTTTTTTCACCAGTGTCTTAATTTTCTGCATACAGGTCTTTTGTCTCCTTGGTATATTCCTTGGTCTTTTATTTCATTTTATGTGTTGCAATAGCGAATGGAATTAATTCCTTAATTTTTCTTTCTGATTTATCATTGTTTGTATATAAGAATGCAAGGTATTTCTGTGTATTGATTTTGTATCCTGTGACTTTATTAAATTCAATGATAACCTCTAGTAATTTTCTGGTAGTGTCTTTAGGATTTACTATGTATAGTACCATGTCATCTGTAAACAGTGAGAATTTTACTTCTTTTTTCATCTAGATTCCTTTTATTTCTTTTTCTTCTCTGATTGCCATGGCTAGGACTTCCAAAGCTATATTGAAAAATAATGGTGACAGTGGGCACTCTTGACTTGTTCCTGATCTTAGAGAAAATGCTTTCAACTTTTCACCATTGAGAATAATATTTGCTGTGGGTTTCTCATATATGGCCTTTATTAGGTTGACATAGGTTCTGTCTGTGCCTATTTTCTGAAGAATTGTTATCACAAATGGGTGCTGAATATTGTAAAAAGCTTCTTCTGCATCTACAGAGAGTATCATATGATTTTTATCTTTCAATTTGTTAATATGGTATGTAACATTGATTGATTTGCATATATTGAAGTATCCGTAGGATTATACCCTAATTAATCATAGTGCATGATGTTTTTAATGTGTCATTGGATTCTGTTTGCTGGACTTTTGTTCAGAAATTTTTCATCCATGTTCACCTTTGATATTGACCTGTAATTTTCCTTTTATGTGATGTCTTTTCCAGTTTTGGCATCAGGGTAATGGTGGCCTTCTAGAATGAGCTCATTAGTGCTCCTCCCTCAGCAATTTTTTGGGAAGAATTTAAGGAGCAGCAGCTTTAACTCTTCTCTAAACATTTGATAGAATTCACTTGTGAAGCCATGTAGCCCTGGGTTTTGTTTTTGGGAGATTTCTTTTTTTATCACAATTGCGATTTACATGCTTGAGAGTGATCTGTTTGTATTTCTGTTTATTCCTTGTTCATTCTTAGAGGTTGTAATTTTCTAAGAATTTGTCCATTTTTTTCTAGGTTGTCCATTTTATTGGCATATAGTTGCTCATGGTAGTCTCTTATGATCCTTTGTATTTTTGCACTGTCTGTTGCAATCTCTCATTTTTCATTTCTAATTTTGTTCATTTGAGTCTTCCTTCTTTTTATCTTGATGAGTCTGTCTAATGGTTTATGAATTTTGTTTTTCTTCTCAAAGAGCCAGTTTTTAGTTTTATTGATCTTTGGCATTTTTCTTTCATTTCTTTTTTATTTATTTCTTTTCTCATCTTATGATTTATTTACTTCTACTTACTTACTATGCTTTTGTTTGTTTTTTGTTCTGTTCCCAGTTGCATTACGTTGTCTATTTGATATTTTTTCCTATCTCTTGAGATAGGATTGCATTGCTATATACTTCCCTCTTAGAACTTCCCAATAGGTTTTGGGTCATCGTGTTTTCAGTGTCATTTGTCTAAAGGTATTTAAGAAATCTTTTTAGTAACCTATTGGCTATTAAGAAGTGTATTGTCTAAATCTCCATGTGTTTGTGCTTTTTTACAGTTTCTTTCCTATTACTAATATCAACTGTTATAGCATTGTGGTCAGAGAAGATACCTGTTACAATTTCAATTTTCTTAGATTTAGTAAAGCTTGATTTGTGACTCAAGATGTGACCTATCCTGAGAATGTTCCATGTGCACTTGAGAAGAAAGTGTATTCCAGTGCATTGGCTGGAATGCTCTGAAGATATCCATTAGGTTCATCTGATCTAATGTGTAATTTGTAGCTTGTGTTTCCTTATTAATTTTCTGCCTGGAAGACCTGTCAATTGGTGGAAAAGTCCCCTACTATTATTGTGTTGCTCTTGATTTCCCTTTTATGTCTGTTAATGTTTGCCTTATGTATTGAGGTGCTCCTGTGTTGGATGCATGACTATTTACAATGTTCTGTTTTCTTCTTGGATTGATAGCTTGATTATTATGCATCATCCTTCTTTACCTCTTGTAATGTTTTTTATTTTAAGGTCTATTTGTCTGATATGCGAATTGCTTATAAGGTCTATTTGTCTGAAATGCGAATTGCTACTCTGGGTTTCTTTTGATTCCCATTTGCCTGAAATACAATTTTCTATCCTCTCACTTTCAATCTGTATGTGCCCCTAGGTCTGAAGTGGTTCTCTTTTAGAGAGCATGTATAAGGGTCTTATTCCTGTATCCGTTCAGCTAGTCTATGTCTTTTGGTTGAAGCATTTAACCCATTTACATTTAAAGTACTCATTGGTGTGTATGTTTCTTTGGGCATTTCCTTAATTGTTCTGAGTTTATTTTTGTAGGTCGTTTCCTTCTCTTGGGTTTCCTGCTGTTAGAAGTCCCTTTAGCATTTGTTGTATAGCTGATTTGGTGGTGCTGAATTGACTTTTGCTTGTCTGTAAAGCTTTAGGTTTCTGCCTCAAATCTGAATGTGATCCTTGCTGGGTAGAGTAATCTTGATTGTAAGTTTTTTCCTTTCATAATTTTAGATATATCTTGCCACTCCCTTCTGGCCTGCAGAGTTTCTGCTGAGAGATCAGCTCTTAACCTTATATAGCTTCTCTTTATTTTACCTGTTGCTTTTCCCCTTCTTGCTTTTAGTATTGTTTTCTTTGGTTGTAATTTTTGTTAGCTTGATTAATAAGTGTCTCGATGTGTTTCTCCTTGAGTTTTTCTTATATGAAACTCTCTGTGCTTCTTAAACTTGTTTGGCCATTTTCTTTCCCATGTTAGAGAAGTTTTCAACTATAATTGCTACAGAATTTTTTCTCAGGCCCTTTCTTTCTCTCTTCTTCCTCTGTTGTTGTTCAGTCACTAAGTTGTATCCAACTCTTTGTGACCCCATGGACTTCTGCACGCCAGGATTCCCTGTCCTCCCATTTTGTATGGATCTACATTCCTTTCCAGTGGTCAGGGACTCCTGCCAGTACTCAGCTGGCGCTCTGTGGGATCTCCATCTGCAGATGTATTCCTGATGCATTGTGGAGGGAGATGTACTCCACATCCACCTAGTCCTCTGCCATCTTGTCAGCTTCCCTGGGCTTTGTCTACTACTCCTTAAATGATGCATTCTCGCTGAGAGCTTTCATCACAGGGATGTTGTAGAGCAAGACTGTGAGAACTTAGCAATCAGGAGGACGATGAGCATACGAAAGGACCCATACACTCTGTCTCCTGTTCTCTTCCAGGGCATATGGGTCAGCACATACTTATTCACAGTATGTTTTGCTGCCAACATTGGGCTGCTGTTTGGTGTTGTGTGTACCGTAGCTATCGTGATCGGTCGCTTCCCAAGGTAAGATATTATTTAAATGCTGTTTATTCTGACACAGCAGCAAAATAAATGGTGTTGGCAGTTACTTTTATTTCTGTGGAATAGATGGTATTATAATCTCATGCTTTTAGGTTTAAAGCTAGAAACAAAAGTTTTTATCTACATGTGATATATAACAATGTTAGTCTTAATGGAGAAGAAATGGCCTTAATGGAGGAGAAATATTTTGTTATAGCTATAAAATATAATATATAAAAACTATTAAAGTGAATTAATTAGCCTCATAGCCATATACTGCATTATAGAGTTACTTTTTTTTAATTAAGGGAATGGATATAGTCTCTAATGAGACCCAAACAGTATAGCAGTGTAATCATTTGAAAAGTTAAATGGCCTCAATACATTTAATTTTTCTGAAGTTGTATTAATTTAGCTACTTTTTCCAGATAACTTATTAAAAAGTGCATTGTTTTTGTTTTTTACTAAACATCTGTAAAGCATTCCATATTTTGATTATTTTTTTGTTTGCTCAGTGTTCACCATCTGATAAAGCTTCTACTCATATCTTATCCTTCTTTTGAAATTCTTTGTGGAATAATGTACTCTTAAAAATTAAAGTTTTATCTCTATAGATTCAATTGTTATAGACTCTATCAGTGCAGTTCAGTTGCCGACTGATGTCTCATTCTTTGTGGCCGCATGGACTGCAGCACGCCAGGCCTCCCTGTCCATCACCATCTCCCGGAGCTTGCTCAAACTCATGTCCACTGAGTCAGTGATGACATCCAATCATCTCATCCTCTATCATCCCCTTCTCTTCCTTCAATCTTTCCCAGCATCAGGGTCTTTTCCAATGAGTCAGTTCTTTGCATCAGGCGGCCAAAGTATTGGAGTTTCAGCTTCAGCATCAGTCCTTCCAATGAATATTCAGCGTTGATTTCCTTTAGGATGAACTGTTTGGATCTCCTTGCAGTCCAAGGGACTCTCAAGAGTTTTTTCCAACATCATAGTTCAAAAGCATTGATTCTTTATTGCTCAGCTTTCTTTATGGTCCAACTCTCACATCTACACATGACTACTGGAAAAACCATAGCTTTGACTAGATGGACCTTTGTCAGCAAAGTAATGTCTCTGCTTTTTAATATGCTGTCTAGGTTGGTCATAGCTTTTCTTCCAAGGAGTAAGCATCTTTTAATTTCATGGCTGCAGTCACCATCTGCAGTGATTTTTGGAGCCCATGAAAAGAAAGTCTGTCATGGTTTCCATTGTTTCCCCATCTATTTGCTATGGAGTGATGGGACCATGATCTTAGTTTTTTGAATGTTGAGTTTTGTGTTTTTTTTTTTTGAATGTTGAGTTTTAAGCCAGTTTTTTCGCCCTCCTCTTTCACTTTCATCAAGAGGCTCTTTAGTTTTTCTTCACTTTCTGCTATAAGGGTGGTGTCATCTGCATATCTGAGGTTATTGATATTTCTTCCAGCAATATTGATTCCAGCTTTTGCTTCATCCAGCCCGGCATTTTGCATGACGTAGTCTGCATAAGTTAAAAAGGCAGGGTGACAATATGCAGCCTTGGTGTACTTCTTTCCCAGTTTGGAGCCAGTCCGTTTTTCCATGTCCAGTTCTGATTGTTGCTTCTTGACCTGCATACTAGAAGGTCGGGTCATGGTGGAGAGTTCTGACAGAATATGGTCCACTGGAGAAGAGAATGGCAAACCACTTCCATATTCTGGCCTTGAGAACCCCATGAACAGTATGAAAAGCCAAAAAGATATGACAGTGAAAGATGAACTCCGCAGGTCAGTAGGTGCCCTCCTCTACTGGAGAAGAGTGGGGAAATAATGCCAAAAAGAATGAAGAGATGAAGCCGAAGTGAAAACAATGCCCAGTTGTGGATGTGACTGGTGATGGAAGCAAAGTCTGATGCTGTAAAGAGCAACATTGCATAGGAACCTGGAATGTTAGGTCCATGAATCAAGGTAAAATGAAAGTGGTCAAATAGGAGATGGCAAGAGTGAGCATTGAGATTTTAGGAATCAGTGAACTATAATGGACTGAAATGGGTGAATTTAATTCAGATGACCATTATTATATATACTACTGTGGGCAAGAATCCCTTAGAAGAAATGGAGTAGCCCTCATAGTCAACAAAAAAAGTCTGAAATGCAGTACTTGGGTGCAGTCTCAAAAATTACAGAATGTTCTCTGTTTGTTTCCAAGGCAAACCATTCAGTATCATAGTAATCCAAGTCTATGCCCCAACCACCAATGCCAAAGAAGCTGAAGTTGAACAGTTCTGTGAAGACATACAAGTCCTAACACCAAAAAAGATGTCCTTTCATCATAGGGGACTAGAATGTAAAAGTAGGAAGTCAAGAGATACCTGGAGTAACAGGCAGGTTTGGCTTTGGAGTATGAAATGAAGCAGGGCAAAGGCTTAACAGTTTTGCCAAGAGAACGCATTGGTCATAGCAAATACCCTCTTCTAACAACACAAGAGACAATTCTACACATGGATATCACTGGATGGGCAATGCCAAAATCAGATTGATTATATTCTTTGCAGCCGAAGATGGAGAAGCTCTAAACAGTCAGCAAAAACAAGAGTGGGAGCTGACTGTGGCTCAGAACATGAACTCCTTATAGAGTGTCTCTCTCTCTCTCTATATATATATATATATATATTCATTGTTATCTGATCCTATCTTGCTATTGATTTCCTCTTTACTTCCTGTATTTTACACAAGATTTCTGACAAACCATATGCTTTCTAGCCTTTTCCCTTATTGCTCACTCTTTTTTGTCAATTCACCTCCTACACCTTGAAGATATGATAGCTGGGAGTTCAGGTGAGATAAATTACATTTTAAAAATCTCAGTTTAGATGTCTGTGCTGTTACTTTATTTCTGAGGGTCCCAGAGAGATACACATTTACCAGTGTCTTATGAACAGTTGGGATGTAGTGTGGAAACCACTCTAGATACTTTCTAATTGTTATAATGAAGTGACTCATCCTTTTTACTTCTTCATGGTTAATGTAGTAACTTGCAAATTATATATTTTATATATGCTTTCATTCTAGAGCAAAGACTCTGAGTACAAAAAATATGAAAGAAATGGAATTTAAAATGAAGACAGAAATGGATGATGTAAGTTTAGTTTCCTTTTCCTTTGTGTAATTAATAATTTTTGTAGGTCAGATAGTTTCAAGATATAAGAAGCAGATAAATTACTAATTTTAAAATGATAATTCTATTTTTGATTAGTTTGAACTTTTTTTTAATTTTAATTTTTATTTATTTTTATTAGTTGGAGGCTAATTACTTCACAACATTGCAGTGGGTTTTGTCATACATTGGACTTTTAATAGTATATGTGACCACTATATATATGGCAATCAACATGCAACAAATCAATAGAACAACAACAGAAATTTTGTATCAGCATTCAAATAATAGAATAACATGGTACATAAAAATACAGTTCACAGCAGAATCATGGTCCAGATTAGTTCAAGTATTTGGAAACCTCTTTTCCATCTGACATGTCTGTTAGTTTGTGTGTGTGTCACTTAGTTGTGTCTGACTCTTTGCGACCTCATGGGCTGTAGCCCACCAGACTCTTCTGTCCGTGGAATTCTCCGAGGATACTGGAGTGGTTTGAAATTTCCTTCTCCAGGTGATTTTCCTGACCCAAGGGTCTCCTGCATTGCAGGCAGATTCTTTACCATCTGAGCTATTAGTTTCTATTGACATATAACAGTCAAACTAAACTAAGTCTATTCCAAATTAAATGATGGAGGAAGACAGGGAAAAGGGAAGGGAATAAAGAAAAGTAGGATCATGGTATTTGTTAACACAGTCAATGAATCTTATCAGTAGGGCGTAATTAACGACTCTAGGCTTGGTTTCTTGCACAGTGGACACCTTTTTAAGGAAATAACTTATTAAATTATCTCGCCCCCAGGTGGCGCTAGTGGTAAAGAACTCGCCTGCCCAGGCAGGAGACGTAAGAGACGCAGGTTCGATCCCTGGGTCTGAGATTCCCTGGAGGTGGGCATGGTAACCCGCTCCAGTATTCTTCCCTGAGGAATCCCATGGACAGAGGAGCCTGGCCGGCTACAGTCCATAGGGTTGCACAGAGCCAGACACGACTGAAGAGGCTCAGCAGGCACACACGCAATCCATGTTTAGGCAGGCCAATTGTGTTTGATTTCTAGCTTCTTGTTCTGAAGGACGATACAAGTTTAAGGTGAAGAAAGAAAATGTTGACTGAAATTCTTGTCAATTAAAAAAATTGGCCTTACTTTGAAACTGCTTTGTGATGCTTGACTAACCTTTTTTATCTTTATTTTTACTTGTTTTAATACCTAATGATTGTCCTCAGAACAGAGAGAACTAACCTCCTACCAGAAGGATCAGTGTCAGGGTATTTCTGAGTAGACTGGAAGTAAAATGTAAGCAACAGGAGCCCTTCTCTGATACCCAGGGAAATGGCTTGTGTTTTTATTAGGTATGGAAAGATTTGCTTCACAGAAAGCTATCAGAGTTCAAAGACTTTGAAGGTGTCCCAGACTCAAGTTTTCCACCAATGTTACCTTTCTTTCTTTCCTGTCCCTTTCTTTTCTTCATTTAAAATTTTCAGGTGCCAAATCCCAGACTCAGGCCTCTGTGTATCCACCCCACACATGCAGCTGTGTGCCATAGTCCTGACATTCTTAGCTTTGAAGCAGAATTCAAATTTAACTATTTTTCAGTTTAAAGATCACTCATTATAAACGGTACCTAATCCATACCTTCTCCTCAGGCTAAATGTATGAGAAAATGAATAAGGGGCTTTGCAGGAAGATGAAAGTGCCACAGTCTCTCCATGTCTTGCCCTTGATTTGTTCCAGTCTAGTTACCTACACGAATAATAACTGTGCCACAGGAAATCTTAATTTTATTAGAATATTGCACCTCACTGGTTATTTAATGTTTTATATCAAAACTAAGAGGGAAAACACTAAGAGAAAGATTTCAATATGAACTGTTCGGTGGAGTTTTAAGCTAATGTCAAGTGTAGCAGTGATCTGTCCCTTCTCTCTCCCTCTCCGTCTTCATATGAAACAGTTTGGAAGGTCTCTTTCTACTCAGGGACTTCAACTCTATTGAGAATTTCTTTTCTGGCCCAACTCCATTCCTTAATAAAAGCTTATCTTTAAAAAGCACACTAACTTAAAACATACTGGCCCAATCATATGGTGAGATTAATGAGACAATCTAAGATGCGGGAGATTTGTCGTAACTAAACACAGCAGGCCAAATGTTTTATTTTGTCTTTTAAGAGATTTCCTCTTTATTAAAAGTTCCTTTGGTAACGTAAAGGTTTTTATTTTCTTGAATTGTTTAGTTGTGATAAATGTCCTCACTGTCTGGAGCTTGAGCAGTTGTGTAGCTTTAGAAACTTTTTGAGATTATCCGGTTTAAAATGTCCCTGTCTTAGCTCTCACTACTCCAGTAGGGGAAGGAGGAGGAGGCCACCAGCAGAGTCGCTGGGGGTGATGGGGGCGGCTGTGGTTTCTGCGGCTGCTGCAGCGCCATCTCTGTGCTGCTGGGATGGGGAAGGACGTGAGGATCCCAGGGGGGCCAGCGGCCATGGGAAGGCGATGGTGGATCTAGATGAACAACACTGACAGCATCATCCCATGGCTGCTGCAAGGGAGAGGGTCCAAGCCTGGCAAGAATGTTCGGCTACAAGGGCATGAAATTGGAGGACTGTGGTTATTACAGTCCTGAGGAGCTTTCTCAGTCAGCCTATCCTTCTAGGACTGGAAGCACCATTCAAAATACACAGTGATATCCATGGGCAATCCTATATGATTTGCTGTGACTTTCTGAGCACAGTGGTTTCCCTCCAGAAGCAATTACCTGTTTCCTGGGGACTATGCGAACAAGGGAAAGCAGTCATTGGACACTCTGCCTCTTACCGGCTTACAAAACCAAATATCTCTTGATTGTTTTGTTCTCAGAGGAAACCACGAATGTGACAGTATCAGTAGAATTTAGGGATTTTATCATGAATCAAAAGAAGATATATCGTTAAAGTATGGAAAACTTTCACAGACTACTTTAACTGTTTATGGATAGCAGTCATCCTGGATGAGAAAATATTCTGCTGTAATGGAGGATTGTCGCCAGATCTCCAGTCTGTGGAGCGGATTTGGTGAATTATGCAGCCAATCAGTGACCCAGATCAAGATTGTCTTGGTGACCTTTTGTGGCCTGACCCTGATGAGGGTGTTTTTGGCTGGGGTTTGAAAATGACAGAGGGTCGTGCTCTGCACTTGGTGCAGAAGTGGTTGCAGATCTCTCCGTAAGCATGATTTGGACCTTAGATGCAGAGCCCATCGGGTGTTTGAAGACGGATAGACGTTTTTGCAGAGAGACAGTTGGTCATTCTCTGCATCCGGTTATTGTGGAGAGCTTGGCAAGCAGGCGCCCTGATGAGTGTGGATGAGACACTGAGTGTTGTCTTCAGAGTTTACAGCCTGCAGAGAAAAGGCAGTGCCGTGCGACCTGAAGTGCCTCCAAGGGCTATGATCACAAAGCAAGCAAGGAAATAGATGTCATTTTGACACTGCCTACTTGGGACTTGTAACATATATAGCTTTTATTTTCAAAGCTGTAATGTGTATTGGTCAGCTTACTTAGATAATATTTGTGGGACCCTGTTCCATTTTTTTTTACTTTATCAATAGCATTTGTTGATTTTAACAGCAAATAAAAGATTCCCCACTCTCAAGGAAAGATGTTTTATTTTGTTTAGTTCTCTGTTCCTTTTGCAAACAATTTTAATGATAGTGTAAAGCTGTACACCCCAGGACAGTTTATCCTGACTAAGGGGTGAGTGTACAATTCATCTTTCTTAACGTTTGGTACAGCCCATGAATAATGTAAATACCCATTTTTTTAGGATATAAAGAGAGATCTAGGGTGCTCAGTTTGTACGTTATTGTCATAACAGGCATACTGTTGGATACAAAACACCATGAACTTTTTGTTTGCTTGCTTCAAAGAAATTGCTCTTTTTCTTGTCTTGTCATGTACAAACTAGTTTTTAGAGTTATCAAAATTAGGAATAGCTTTCAACCTTGCCAGCATCACTTGTATGTATATTTAATTAAAGTACACTTTCCCCTGTGATACACTTAAAATGACAATTAAAACCATTGTTTTAAATGTTTGTGATTCCTTGCTAAAACCAGTTTCTATTGAAATATAAATGGACACTCTCCTAAGTACAAGGTGACATGATTGTGTATGCCTGCCGCTTTCTTGGGGATTCAAAAATAGGTTTTTAAGCTTGAATAACAATTAATAACATAAGGCTGTTTACACTACTAATGATTAAAATTAATAACATTTGTACTATTTTCAGTCTATTCATTAAATAATCTTTTTATAGTTACATCAGGACTGAACCTGTCCATTCAGAAAGCTTCAAATTATAAAAACAATACTGTTCTGTATGTGTGACTGATTATGTCTTCTTTGGCCTATGTTCTTTATTCTGTGATGAAGTTGAAGCTTATAAGTCAAAACAAAGGAACTTAACTTACAGAACTCACAGTATCTATGACTTTTTAAAACTAATATCTGTTTAGAAAAAAAGAAAGCAGTTTCAACAGATGACCAGGTACAATACCATGTGGGAAAAATGAATTCAGACTTATTTAATGATGAACTTGTTAAAAAAAATTACCTACTTTAAAAAACAAGGAAGCTAAGAGAGGTTAAATGAATTATCCAAATTCACAGTATCTATTATTTTCCAATCTTTCTATCTCCGTCTGTATGTGTCTGAAGGAGTACTGCTTTATTTAGTTGGTGAGGAATTAACATTTCATAGAGCTTCCATTTCTCTCGGCTTCTAAGATAGACCCCTGCTCCAAAGGTCATGGTGCTGTGCTCCGCTTAGTCACTCATCACGTCCGACTCTTTGTGACCCCATGGGCTGTAGTCCGCCAGGTTCCTCTGTCCATGGCGATTCTCCAGGCAAGAATACTGGAGTGGTTTGCCATGCCCGCCTTCAAGGGATCTTCGCAACCCAGGTCACCCACATTGCAAGTAGATTCTTTACCATCTGAGAAGAGGGTATTGCCAGGAAGACCTGGGCAAATGGCTGCAGTAGACAAATTTTGTATTGAAATTTCTCCTTCTCCATTTCTTCATGTCTTGCCTACATCCTGGCAATCCAATATAATCTAGGCCTGCCCAAAGTGAAAGTACCTTCCTGATAATACCTCTTGGTTTCTTTCTCCCAATTAGAACTATCAGTCACTTGTAAGGTGACTTCCAGGCAAAGGAAGGCTACATCATTATCAGATAAATGATTGACAGTTGACCTTTCAGGCCATATTTTCATTTTAAAAAGTACCGGATGGCTAGGCAAAGGAATTTTAAATTTCTGTATTGAGTGGAAGAGGTACTTTTAGGAGGATAAGTCTTTCTTGGATAGTCTTTTGCCTCCCCAAAACTCAGTAGGAATAAGGGGTATTTTCTGAAAGGCTACAGACTTATCTAATGATTGCTAAAGTTTCTTAGTAAAGAAGAAGTACATATTTTCCTTGAGAAGTATCGTAGTATATTAAGTCCTCCAACAATTTTTAATAATGAAAACATCAGCAAAGAAATTGTCAGTCATGATTGAGTGACAGTTGGACTTACAGGGTTTCAATTCATTGTAGGATTTATTTCATTCAGAACTCTGAATCTGTTCATTTCTTTTTTTTCTCTCTCTCTCTAAAAGGAAACCCTGCAGCAGGTGAAAATTATCTCAATAAACAACCCGCTTGTTTTTCTGAATGCAAAGAAATTTCATACTGATATAATGAACATAATCCAAAAAGAAAATACTGGAAATCAACCACTTGATGAAATCAGAAAGGTAAGGTCAACTCTTTTGATTATATTATGCTATAGGTAATCGTATATCTTGATACCTCAAAAAGGAATCATGTAAATATAATACATTGTAAAAATGTTTAGAGGCCTCTTCCCTCAGTAAAAGCTTATATTATGTTGTAGTTTTTATCTGGTTTGTAGTTAGTTTTTAGGTAATTGCTCTTGTTCATTTGTTTGTTCATTCATTCATTAATTCATCATGTATCTAAAAGACATGGGTGTTGTGCTGTTCTGTGCTTAGTCACTGAGTTGTGTCCAACTCTTTGCAACTCCAGGCTCCTCTGTCCATGGAATTCTCTAGGCAAGAATACTGGTGTGGGTTGCCATGCCCTCCTCCAGGGGATCTTTCCAACCCAGGGATCGAAGCTACGTCTCCCACATTTCAGGCAGATTCTTTACCAGCTGAGCTATCAGGGAAGCCTATGTTCTAGATGCTATAACCCTGGGAGGAATAAATAAGACAATTCACTTAAAGCATATTTTTACCCAGTGAAAGAAGAGTTAGGTCTACCTCTAAAAGAGAATATAGTAGATGACTCAAAGAGGTATAAACTGTTGGCCTCATTGTGATAACATTGTCTTAAATTGCCATCATTTTTTATCTCCACATATTATCTCAGTTAACAGAGATAGCAAATAAAATGTGCATGAGAAAGAGTTTATGCATAATCATTTGAATCCTTAAGCCCTCTGCAATATTAAGAGCATAGACTTTGGAGCTAAGCTGCCTGGGTAAGCCACTTAGAAGCTACTAGGCCTTCAGTTCAGTTCAGTTCAGTTGCTCAGTCGTGTCCGACTCTTTGAGACCCCATGGACTGCAGCACGCCAGGCTTCCCTGTCCATCACCAACTCCCGGAGCTTATTCAAACTCATCCATTGAGTCGGTGATGCCATCCCACCGTCTCATCCTCTGTCGTCCCCTTCTCCTCCTGCCTTCAATCTTTCCCAGCATCAGGGTCTTTTCAAATGAGTCAGCTCTTCGCATCAGGTCGCCAAAGTATCAGACCTTAACCAAATTATTTAATCTTTTCTATTTAAGTTTTCTAATCAGTACTACCAACAATTAAATACGTTAATATATGCAAAGAAGTTAGATAGTGCCTGGCCTACTTAATACTATAAATCTTAGCTAGTCTTACTGGTTTGATTGAGTACAAATAATATGCTCTGAATGAAGAGTTTCTTGACTATCGTAGGTCACAAAGTCCTTCTCTTTCTCTGATACCCTTGAGCGTATGCTATCTCTCTGTCAGTCAGATGCATAGGAGACCACTCCTCTCATTTCTGGTGTCTCAGGGACTAATTCCACATCCCTGTCTCTGAAGCTTGACGTGTCTACCCCAGGCCTCATGTTCCACATCCCTGTCTCTGAAGCTTGACGTGTCTACCCCAGGCCTTATGTTCCACATCCCTGTCTCTGAAGCTTGACGTGTCTACCCCAGGCCTCATGCTGATCCACACTGCAGAGACCCTAGACATAAGATCGGATATGAAATTTGCTGGGCACAGTTCAAAATGAAAGGGCACAGTTCAAAATGAAAGGGCACAGTTCAAAATGAAAGTGTGAAGCTCTTTGTTCAACACCTGTTAGGAATTTCAAAATGGTAACAACACAGCATTAATCCAAATGAGAGACCCTTCTAAACTTGAGGTCTTATGTGACTGCGCAGGACTCTGGCCCACAAAGCTGGCTCTGCCTGTATATCTCTGAACCTTTTTTACCGCTCACTGAGCTCTTTTAGATGTCACTTTCATTGGAATATTAGGAGCCACCGCCTGTGATTTGGGGTTGAAAAGAACTTGCTCTTATGCTAAAGGGGGAGATATATACTGAATGATTCAAGTTGTATTACTATATTAGGCCTGTTTTTAATCACAAAGCCATTCTATACCTGTATATGAGACAGGTATGTTCTTGTAGCTGACTTTAAGCTCATAACCATGTATAACAGCATTATGGGAAAATCTGTCTAGAGCTTCATGTAATCTAATTAACCTACAAGAAGCTTGTGGTCTTATTTTTCCAAAATGTAAGCTTACTTCTTGAAATAATATACTAAATTGTGGGCTTTATCATTTCTAATAGAGTACCTGACATAGGAATTCTTACAACTAATTATTTATCAATAGTTGATAGTGTTTTCCTTATTTTCCTGCAAGATTAAGATTGCTCCAACTTGTTTTCAGAAATTACAAAATGACATGTGTTTACCTTTAGTATATCTTAGAAACAAATCTCATTAACACAGTCTTCTGTGAGAAGTTTCCACATATATGATTTTACCTACTTGGGATTTCAGAAAATTGAGTCTAAAAATCAAACAGGGTTCATTGAATTTAGGATATTAGTAGATGAAGTCACTCAAAAGGATTCTTCAACTCAGAACTTTATGATGGTGAGGAAGAATTTGTTGAAACTGAGTTCCACTATAATGATAATGATGCAAATATTGTATGTATATTTGTATGCTGTGAATTTTAAAGGAACTCCAAGGATTCAGATGGCAATTTGGAAGCCCTGCTCTCAGAGGAACCTGCGATAAACCTTTACTTGGAAAGATTAAAAGGATAGTCTTGAGCTTGAGTGCTCTTTGGGGCATTTCGTATTATTCTTGTCAGACACTGTCACGGATATCTACTTGTCTTAAGGACCGTGCACTTATTCCAAGTTCAGTTTTAGAGTAAGACGTCTGCATCAGTTACTCTCTCCTGCAGCGCTGCCTCCCTTTATCAGCCTGCACAAAGCGGTTCACGGTTGTGCCCTGCACTGGAGTGCTCTGCCGGGGCCTCGATCTTCTCTTCTCTGACAGCTGCGTTTTCAACAGATGGTGGTGATGGAAGGACATTGAAAACACTCCAGAGCAGGAAGATTCACATCCCATTCAAAACAAGAATTGAAAAAGTGCCCTCTGTTAGGTTATATAATGATATGCTTTTATATTGCTATACTTCCTGTATGCTCAGTCGTGTCCAACTCTTTGAGATCCCATGGACTGTAGCCCGCCAGGCTCCTCTGTCCACAGGATTTCCCAGGCAAGAGTACTGGAGCAGGATGCCATTTCCTACTCCAGGGGTTCTTTCTGACCCAGGATTGAACCTGCGTGTCTTGTGACTCCTGTATTGGCAGGCGTATTCTTTACCACTGAGCCTGTGTATCACCATTAAATATCTCCCTGAATGCAGAAGCTTAGAAGGATCTCAGGCTGCTAGTGTTTGATGGATTTGTGCTCGCTATTATATAGAGCTATAGGTATTCACTATTTATTTTGTGCTCTCATTTTGCAAGAGAAGTTTCAATCTACCATTTATCTAAAGTTCTCTTTTGCTCAGACAAGATGTTTTTCAAAACTACACTTTGTTTTTGGAACAGTTTTTTAGATTTACAGAAAAATCGAGTAGTTAGTATACAGAGTTCCTGTATATAGAGAGAGTTCCTATATATACCCCACATGACACAGTTTCCTCTATTATTAACATCTTGCATTAGTGTGATATATTTATTATAATCAATCAACCAATATGGATACATTATCATTAAGTAAAGTCCATGCTTTATCTGGGCTTCTCAGGTGGTGCTAGTGGTAAAGAACCCATCTGCCAATGCAGGAGACTTAAGAGATGTGGGTTCAGTCTTTGGGTCAGGAAGATCCCCTGGAGGAGGGCATGACAATTCGTTCCAGTGTTCTGGCCTGGAGAATCTCCCGGAGAGAGGAGCCTGGCGAACTATAGTGCACAGGGTGGCATAGAGTTGGACAGGACTGAAGCGATTTAGCACACATGCTTTATTTAGATTTACGTAGTTCTACCTGATATCCTTTCTCTGCTCTAGAATTCCTTCCAGTATATCATGTTACATTTAGTTGTCCTGTTTCCTTTTGACTGTGACAGTTTCTTAGGCTTTCCCTTTATTGAATGGTCTTGACACTTTTGAGGTGTACCGGTCAGATATTTTGTAGAATGCCCCTCTGTTGAAATTATCTCTTATTTTTCTTGTGATAGCACTGGGGATATGGGTTTTTTAAGGAGGAAAACTATAGAGGTGAAGTGCCATTTTCATCACATTGTATCAAGGGTACATAATATCAACATTATTTCTCATTGTAGATATTAATCTTGATCTTCTGGATGAGGTAGTATTTATCAGGTTTCTCTCCTACATAACTACTTTCTTTCCCCTTTTGCATGCTGTACTCTTTGAAAGCGAGTCACTGTGTGCAGCTTGTATTTAGGGAAAGTGGAATCATGCTCCACCTTCTTGAGGGTGGAGCATTTATATAAATAATTTGAAATTCTTCTGCAGAAGGGATTTCTGACAAAGTATTTTTAAGAGGAGGGAAAGGAAACTCACATTTCTTGACTGTCTTTCAGGGGCTCATCTCTTTACCTGGACTATCTAACATACTTGTCGTCAGCCCCATGATGTAACTGACTTTACCTGAATGTTACAAAAAAAAAAAAGGATTGAGACTTAGAAATGTAAAATAACCTGGGGGAAATTATTTGGTAACTGTCAGAATCAGACTTAAAATACATAAGCTGGGCCAGTGGGTGCAGTACCAGTGGCTTCCCAGGTAGCGCTGGTAGTAAAGAACACACCTGTCAGTGCAGGGGACTTAAGAGATGTGGGTTCGATCCCTGGATGGGGTTTGATCCCTGGGTTCGGAGGATCTCTTGGAGAAGGGCATGGCAACCCACTCAAGTATTGTTGCCTGGAGAATCCCATGGACAGAGGAGCCTGGTGGGCGACAGTCCATAGGGTCGCAGAGTTGGACGTGACTGAGCGGCTAACACACACACAGTGGGTATTAAAAAGGGAAATTGATATTCTATGATCACCCTCCAAGATGAAAACTGATTTCATGGGAAAGTAGTATAATGTAGCAGTCTGGAGCAAGAGGTACAGAGTTGAAAGACATGAACTTAGGTTTTAACCTAATTCTTGCTACCTTTGTGATTTTGGTCAAATTATTTACCCATTTCAATCATTAGAAGTCTTCCAAATTTAAAAATTTTCCAACTTTCAAATGGAAAATGATATCAGTAACTTCACAGGATTATTCTGATAATTAAATGATTAATGTAAATTTCTTAGGATACAGTAAGTAGTAAGTACTCAAGAAATAACAATTGCTATCATCATGAACAGTAACAACAATAAGTTTTTGAGAAGTATATAGCCTGTTATAATTTTAGAGGCATCAATTATTTTTAATTTCAAAAAGTTTAATTGTAGGATATAAAGTCATTTTTCATTCTCTAGCATTTCCATAAATCAGGAATCTCTTTTTCTTAGACATTTTCATGAAACTTCAGATGAACAGCTAATTTTTTAAAAAATTATTTATTTTTATTGAAGTATAGTTGATTTACAACAATTAGTTTCAAGTGTACAGCATAGTGATTCAGTTACACATATGTATGTATCATTTTTTTATGATTCTTTTCCCTTATAGGTTATTACAAAATATTGAGTATAGTTTCCTGTACTATACAGTATGTCTTGTGTATCTATTTTATATGCAATAGTGTGTGTATGTTAATCCAAAACTCCTAACTTATCCCTCCCCAACCCTTTTCCCGTTGGTAACTATAAATTTGTTTTCTACGTCTGTGAGTCTGTTTTTGTTTTGTATGTAAGTTCCTTTGTATCATTTTTTTTTATTGGATTCCCTGTGTATGTTATATTATATGATATTTATCTTTCTTTGTCTGGCTTACTTCATATTACTCAGCCATAAAAAATACAATACTGCCATTTATAGCAACATGCATGGACCTCATACTAAAGGAATAGCTGACTTTTGTATAATATGAAATGCGTTTGGTGGCTCTCTCTTTGAGAGTGCTGTGTTAATGAGGTTAATTTCTGATTGGATACATATATGAAAGACACATGTAAATGTTCACTTCCTGATATAAAAATCAAAACAATCTTGCAGAAAATGTTCTAAACAGGAGAGTCTGACTTGATAAATTATCAGCTGAGCTAACATAAACTTAGGACTCACTTACTATTTCAGTTTGTTGTATTTATCATTCTGAAAAATGGGCTAGGGAAAATAATTATTGGAGACCATTTTCTGTTGCTGTTATTATGGAGAAAAGAATGATGTTCTTTTTTAGGGCAGAAATGAATTTTTATAATGTTGTTCATCTTTTTATGTGTTTTTATTTCAGCATGAACAAAGCACATTGCTCACTTCTCTGAGTGGCATTTGCAACGGTGAGTTAGCGGAGAGGAAATGTAAGTGCTCTGCCGTGACTTAGAGCAGACGGAACCTTTGCCTTCTTGCGGCTTCCCGCTTCTGTCCCCTTCCCCTCTCCCCTGTCTGCCTCTCCCTCCCCTCTCCCCACGTCTGCCTCTCCCTCCCCTCTCCCCCGTCTGCCTCTCCCTCCCCTCTCCCCGCGTCTGCCTCTCCCTCCCCTCTCCCCTGTCTGCCTCTCCCTCACCTCTCCCCCGTCTGCCTCTCCCTCCCCTCTCCCCGGTCTGCCTCTCCCTCCCCTCTCCCCGCGTCTGCCTCTCCCTCCCCTCTCCCCCCGTCTGCCTCTCCCTCCCCTCTCCCCGGTCTGCCTCTCCCTCCCCTCTCCCCCCGTCTGCCTCTCGCTCCCCTCTCCCCCCATCTGCCTCTCCCTCCCCTCTCCCCCCGTCTGCCTCTCCCTCCCCTCTCCCCGCGTCTGCCTCTCCCTCCCCTCTCCCCGCGTCTGCCTCTCCCTCCCCTCTCCCCCCGTCTGCCTCTCCCTCCCCTCTCCCCCCGTCTGCCTCTCCCTCCCCTCTCCCCGCGTCTGCCTCTCCCTCCCCTCTCCCCGCGTCTGCCTCTCCCTCCCCTCTCCCCGCGTCTGCCTCTCCCTCCCCTCTCCCCGCGTCTGCCTCTCCCTCCCCTCTCCCCGCGTCTGCCTCTCCCTCCCCTCTCCCCGAGTCTGCCTCTCCCTCCCCTCTCCCCGCGTCTGCCTCTCCCTCCCCTCTCCCCCGTCTGCCTCTCCCTCCCCTCTCCCCCCGTCTGCCTCTGCCTCCCTCTCCCCCTGTCTGCCTCTCCCTCCCCTCTCCCCGCATCTGCCTCTGCCTCCCCTCTCCCCCCGTCTGCCTCTCCCTCCCCTCTCCCCCCGTCTGCCTCTCCCTCCCCTCTCCCCGCGTCTGCCTCTCCCTCCCCTCTCCCCCGTCTGCCTCTCCCTCCCCTCTCCCCCTCCTGCTCTCCCTCCCCTCTCCCCGCGTCTGCCTCTCCCTCCCCTCTCCCCCCGTCTGCCTCTCCCTCCCCTCTCCCCCCGTCTGCCTCTCCCTCCCCTCTCCCCGAGTCTGCCTCTCCCTCCCCTCTCCCCGCGTCTGCCTCTCCCTCCCCTCTCCCCCCGTCTGCCTCTGCCTCCCTCTCCCCCTGTCTGCCTCTCCCTCCCCTCTCCCCGCATCTGCCTCTGCCTCCCTCTCCCCCTCCTGCTCTCCCTCCCCTCTCCCCGCGTCTGCCTCTCCCTCCCCTCTCCCGGCGTCTGCCTCTCCCTCCCCTCTCCCCGCGTCTGCCTCTCCCTCCCCTCTCCCCGCGTCTGCCTCTCCCTCCCCTCTCCCCGCGTCTGCCTCTCCCTCCCCTCTCCCCGCGTCTGCCTCTCCCTCCCCTCTCCCCCTGTCTGCCTCTCCCTCCCCTCTCCCCCCGTCTGCCTCTCCCTCCCCTCTCCCCCCGTCTGCCTCTCCCTCCCCTCTCCCCGCGTCTGCCTCTCCCTCCCCTCTCCCCGCGTCTGCCTCTCCCTCCCCTCTCCCCGCGTCTGCCTCTCCCTCCCCTCTCCCCCCGTCTGCCTCTGCCTCCCTCTCCCCCTGTCTGCCTCTCCCTCCCCTCTCCCCGCATCTGCCTCTGCCTCCCTCTCCCCCTCCTGCTCTCCCTCCCCTCTCCCCGCGTCTGCCTCTCCCTCCCCTCTCCCGGCGTCTGCCTCTCCCTCCCCTCTCCCCGCGTCTGCCTCTCCCTCCCCTCTCCCCGCGTCTGCCTCTCCCTCCCCTCTCCCCCCGTCTGCCTCTCCCTCCCCTCTCCCCGCGTCTGCCTCTCCCTCCCCTCTCCCCGCGTCTGCCTCTCCCTCCCCTCTCCCCCGTCTGCCTCTCCCTCCCCTCTCCCCGAGTCTGCCTCTCCCTCCCCTCTCCCCGCGTCTGCCTCTGCCTCCCCTCTCCCCGAGTCTGCCTCTCCCTCCCCTCTCCCCCTGTCTGCCTCTCCCTCCCCTCTCCCCCTGTCTGCCTCTCCCTCCCCTCTCCCCCCGTCTGCCTCTCCCTCCCCTCTCCCCCCGTCTGCCTCTCCCTCCCCTCTCCCCGCGTCTGCCTCTGCCTCCCCTCTCCCCGAGTCTGCCTCTCCCTCCCCTCTCCCCGCGTCTGCCTCTCCCTCCCCTCTCCCCGCGTCTGCCTCTCCCTCCCCTCTCCCCCTGTCTGCCTCTCCCTCCCCTCTCCCCGCGTCTGCCTCTGCCTCCCCTCTCCCCGAGTCTGCCTCTCCCTCCCCTCTCCCCCCGTCTGCCTCTCCCTCCCCTCTCCCCCCGTCTGCCTCTCCCTCCCCTCTCCCCGCGTCTGCCTCTCCCTCCCCTCTCCCCCTGTCTGCCTCTCCCTCCCCTCTCCCCGCGTCTGCCTCTCCCTCCCCTCTCCCCCGTCTGCCTCTCCCTCCCCTCTCCCCCCGTCTGCCTCTCCCTCCCCTCTCCCCGCGTCTGCCTCTCCCTCCTTTCTCCCCCCGTCTGCCTCTCCCTCCCCTCTCCCCCCGTCTGCCTCTCCCTCCCCTCTCCCCCCGTCTGCCTCTCCCCCCCACCCCTCTCCCCCGTCTGCCTCTGCCTCCCTCTCCCCTTCCTGCTCTCCCTCCCCTCTCCCCGCGTCTGCCTCTCCCTCCCCTCTCCCCGCGTCTGCCTCTCCCTCCCCTCTCCCCGCGTCTGCCTCTCCCTCCCCTCTCCCCGCGTCTGCCTCTCCCTCCCCTCTCCCCCCGTCTGCCTCTCCCTCCCCTCTCCCCGAGTCTGCCTCTCCCTCCCCTCTCCCCCTGTCTGCCTCTCCCTCCCCTCTCCCCGCATCTGCCTCTGCCTCCCTCTCCCCCCGTCGGCCTCTCCCTCCCCTCTCCCCCCGTCTGCCTCTCCCTCCCCTCTCCCCGAGTCTGCCTCTCCCTCCCCTCTCCCCGAGTCTGCCTCTCCCTCCCCTCTCCCCCTGTCTGCCTCTCCCTCCCCTCTCCCCCCGTCTGCCTCTCCCTCCCCTCTCCCGGCGTCTGCCTCTCCCTCCCCTCTCCCCGCATCTGCCTCTGCCTCCCTCTCCCCCCGTCTGCCTCTCCCTCCCCTCTCCCCGAGTCTGCCTCTCCCTCCCCTCTCCCCGAGTCTGCCTCTCCCTCCCCTCTCCCCGCATCTGCCTCTGCCTCCCTCTCCCCCTCCTGCTCTTCCTCTCCTCATTCTCCGGCTCTGTCCTCCCCTTCCTCCTCCTTCTCTTCTTTGTCTTCCTCCTCACACTCCCGGTTTATTTTAGAGGTTAATTTCAGGCGTGTCAGCCTACAAAGAATGAAGGTATAAAAATTTATTATGAGACATTACAAATACCTGAAACAAACTAATGGTATTTTTTAAAGTGGAAGGAAATACAATGTCCATCAATCAGAATACACAATGTTGAAAAGATGTCAATTCTCAAATTTTGTTATAGATATAAATTGAATCACAATTAAAATTCTGATAGGACATTTTAATGGCAGTTAATAAACTCATTCTAAATTTTGTACAAAACTCAAATGGCCAAGAACAGGCATGACTATTGAACTATATGAACAAGAGAGAGAGGTTGTTTTCTTATGTATGTATAAATGTGTTATAAAGTTCTAATAATCAGTGTAGTGTGCCACCACTTCAGAGATAAATAGACAGGTCAATAGGACAGAGCAGAGAGCACAAAAGTGAGGAAAAACACATATATTGGTGTTTTACTTGTGACAAATGTGGCACTGCAGAGCAGTGAGCCAAAGACTGTGATTAATGTACAATGATGAGACAATCACACCCCCATAATGAATGGAATTAGACCTTCATCCCATCCCATCCCATCCCCCAAATCAGTACCAGCTCAAAGTCTTAAGAGTGGTAGGCAAATTATAAATTTAAAAGAAAATATAGGAGAATATGTACAAGAAATGTTAAACATTATCATTAAACTTCACTAGATTATAAAGAGTTTTGTTTACCAAATGACATCATATGAAGCCTGAAAAGATAAGCTAGGGTAAAAGAAGATAGATGTAATTTATAAAATGGAGAAAGAATTGTACTCCCCAACATATGAAGGAGTAAAAATGGCAGATGACCCATTAGAAAAATGCGCAAGAGACATGAACAGGCATTCCACAAAAAGAGACATTTTCAAATTTACTAATAAGCATATGCAGATATGCTTGCTTAGACTCACTGATGCTATTCATAATACTTGGGGAAATCTAGATTAACTTCAAATAAATAACACAATATATATGATTGATAGTTTTTAAAGTCTGACAATACCAAGTATTGGTGAGGATGCAGAGCAGCAAAAAGTCTCCTGCAATGCTAGTGGGAGTGTAAACTGTAACAACTACCTTGGAAAACAGTTTGGTAATATCATATAAAACTGAAGATACACAAGATATACAAACCAGCAATTCCACATCCAGTTTACATTCTAACAAGTTACATAAACAAGAATGTTCGAACAGTATTGTTTTTAACTATCCAAAGCTGGAAACAGTTCGTATTTCAAAAAAAAAAAAAAAATTAGCTGGTATGTATAAGTATGGAATATTTATACATTTGAATTTTTAGTTGATATATTTATTATATGGTATACATATACAATAATGAAAACTACATGTCTTATAAATGTAATTGGACCAAAGTGAAAAGGCAAAGGAAAACATAAATTCTATTATATAAACTTAAAAAAAAAAGCAGGAAAAGCTGACATACTGATTTTAGCTCTTCTAAAGACAATAAAAAAGGGAGCCTCTTAATATCTGCACCTGGAAACATATACAAGGTTGTTCATAGTAAATCTGTTTATAATCCTCCCAAATGAAGGAAAACTAACACTTTTTTAGCAGTACAGTGGATAAAAGAACATGTGGAATGTTTATATATAAATACATATTATAATATCTATCATATTACTTTAAGGTACTCTAAATAAATATATAAAATATAGAATAGAGTAAAATAAATATCATATAAATATACAAATTAATTGCACGGCCCACATCAGCAGGGTAGCAGTTCAGATGTTAG